ATGATGACATCTCGTAATTTCATATTGCACATTGCACATAGCAGTGTTCATCTTTTTCGAGGTCCTTGCCTAGAGTTATCTTCCACTTTTGTCTTTTCTGCATCTTCCTTGTCACTAGCCCTTGGTCTCCGAAATGTGGGCGGGTCTCATGCATACTGAATGATCAGCTCCTTTTGTTCTCTTCGACATCTGTACATTTGTATTTACAATGTATTCATAATACCCTAGAGCTTATGTTGAAAGACTGTGTAGGTAGCCTTAAGGTTAGGAACGACCTTAGCTTAATGAAAAGATTGTTGTAACTCCATTCCTCATATTCTTTTTGGGCTACTTCGTACAATTAGTTCGACTGTTTTTGATCCGCGGCTCTAATGAATCAGAAGCCAGCTCTCGTACTTAGGCAGTTTAGGTATGGACTCCTTGGATATTCGATAGAAGTGGCGTAGTTACTGTGCCGAAGACACAGCCTAGCCTGTTGTAATTGGGTATATCGTCGCGTAAAAGGACAGAAAGGACATAAGCAAAAGAGCGCCACATAAAAGCCATAGGTATATAAGACAAGAGAGAAGACCACCATCCAAAAAGAACAAAAGAAATATGTATAAAGAATGAACGTTAGACCAACACAAATCATTATAAATCAAAAGCTATGCTTCTTCACCAATCCCTTCGTACTACCCGTATCGTCGTTAACAGCAATCTTCGAACGCGAGGTATTCTCTTGCGTAACATTAGTCGTGACCTTGATGCCCGCAAAGGCCTCCTTCGCAGGCTCTTTAGAGTAACTATTGAAGGAGCCTGACGGTGACAGATTTTCGAGATCATGGTCGTAGCCCGAGCTGTGATCACGTCCGCCGACAACAGAGGCCAGGACTTCTCCGTTGCCATTTCCTGTGAGGACGTTGCGGCCGGTTCGCGAAGGCCGCGTGGTCCTGCTGCGGTAGCCATTGCTTCGGGTGGAGAAAATGTGCGGTAGGAGTTTGGAGAGGAAGGCGCGTGTGCCCGGGAGACAGGCGCAGATAATTGCTACGTTGCACTCGACGGCTGACCACGTTGCTGCGCCAACGTTGTCATCTGGGTATTTGTTAGATTTGGCTTATGTCTAAGGATTGTTAGTACGTACAGGTAGGGTCGTTTGAGTTGGAGATAATGAGGAGAGATTTGAGGCGGAGTACACTTGTGATCAAGACGCTGTGAGGATGATTGTTAGCCATTGTCAATGACTGTCGTATGGAGCTGCACGTACAATCCACCTAGGGCGAAAACAGCCATGAGAGCGAACTTTTGCTTCCTGGGCAATTGTAGCGATTTCAGGACTGGCATTGGGTATATGAGAATGAGAATATCGGTAAGAATGTGGATAGCTGAGTTGGAAAACCACAAGGCTTTCTTATCCAAACAGAAGCCCGGGACAGTTGGATCCCAGAATTTGGCGAGAGGAACACAGTTAGCCCAGGCGCTAATGATGGTCCATGTTCCATAGGCGCCTAGAAAGCCGATCAGGAGCCAGCACGCTCGGCGCATGCGTGGCGTAGAGAAGACTCGTTTGTATTGTAGAAGGATTGACATCTTTGTGCTGATGAGGCTTGTCTGATATATGGGGACTGAAGCCCAGAAGCACTATAAGAGAAGCTTGTCAATGGAACTGCACTGTGTTGGAGAGTGTTCTGCTGAGATGGAGCGTACGATCATCTGAAACTTGAAGATTTCGGCGGGGATAGCGGCATAGTGCTCGCCCATGCCGTGGAAGACTTCGCCTGCCAACAGGCCGAAGAAAATCCATGAGAAGGCTAGAGAGACTATGATGACATAGTCGTCCGCTCCCATCTGCTTCACGAGAAATGCTCGTGTAAATATACGGACGGCAGCAATTAATGTCGCTATAGTCGTAAACACAGCGCTGACGGCGAGGGCCTGGTGACCCCGGGGTGTTGATAGAGTAGTCATCGTGTCAGAAAGGCATATATAAATAAGTGCAACAGTTTCGTCCACAAACTGCAATTGTGAACAGGAGGGTATTCAATGCGCTGAAACAGAGATCGCAAAGCTCCTCTGTTGACTTATAGTAGAGATGAGCGGCCACCTTGTCGATTCTCGAGATGAAGTCTCCCGGGATTATGGAATGGCCCGCTTCTCAATACATATATACAGAGTAGGGATAGAAGACTGAAGTATCGCGTTCAAAAAAAGAAAATAAAGAGAAAGGTAACAGGAACGCGAGATCCTCCCCCGATTTGAAGATCATCATTCAGCGAACGGGCTAGAGATGGGGCAATACATAATAGTAGACTATTTAATTTTGTATTAGCTTGGCTGTCAAGACCACTAGACATTAGCGGGCCCCATTCGTGTGGTGACAGTAGAAACTCGGAATTTGTAACGATCAGTGGTTCTGCATTGTATGGTATCATAAGAGATGGTCGCAGGTCCGTTGTACATCGTATATCTTACATCGTACATTGCATATTATTGTCAAGAGCATATACCTCTATGTATGTTGTACCAGTGGCCTACCCGGGCACGAGGTTCCGTTGCCCTAGAAGACACATGGACTCCGCATGACATGAACTTTGTTTTCACAAAAAAACATAGGTTCTCTGATTGGTCAATCTGGGTACCTGAACCATGGTAAATCGATGACCTTGCATGGTCAGAGTGATAGCCTATACATAATAGGAAACTCCCCCCTGCTAAGGTTTGCAATAGCGCACTCCCTAACAAGGTACCGGTGGGTTCGCGAACGCCCCAGAACGTGGGATCTTCGGAATAATTACTTTTTTTTCTTTAACTCCCGGGATTATTACCCTCATAAACAGAGCTCGTGGGAGCATGAACGCATTGTGAAGGCAAGGCAAGCACACTGTGGGCACTAGTCTGACAATAATGCACTTCGATATTTCACTCGTACAAGTACGGAGTACATATCCACCTTACCCTTTTTATCCTCGATTACATTTCATGCTTGATTGATCCATGGTTAAGTACTCCGTACTCCGGACTGCTGTCGTGGCTGTCGTAAAATCGATAGAGTCAAATAACACCCATTCAGATTCTATAAAGACTCAGGTTTCTTCGATTCCAGGAGAGGTGGGGCGGGGATTGAATCCTATTGTTCCTGCGATCTGCACTCATGTCTGCAGCCCGTTTTTGTACCTGCGCAATCCCAGAGCCCAGGAAACTTCAATTTCGGGGAGTTTCGGGGATATCTCTTGATTATTCAAATATTTCAATATTTACTGCCCTAATCATAACTTAATAGTCCCAGTAAAGGCTTTATCTGCAGGGAAATCGGAAAATCTGAAGGTTGAATGCCGATCTAATTCCTATGTTCCCAACCCCTCCGGAAAAGGCTGCGTGCACGGTGCCAGCGAATTTCGATCAAATCGATGACAGGAGAGACGCATTGACTATTAGATAATTTTAGTTTCAGATCATCGATAACTAACTAGTTACATATGTATCGTAGTCGAGTTATGCAAACCCATTCCTGAATACCCTTTCTACCGCATCGTTTTAGATGCCTTGAAGCTATTTTTCTAGATACGTTCTTCTACAGAGTAGCTAAAACACTAAGAATAGGGGATAAGTCTAAAAGCTACATCCGAAGAAGCCATTGGAGTGTTATCTTACCCTGTCCACAGTTATACCACGAAGTATAGACCATTCTCGTCTTAGCCTCCGGCCGCAACGCACGGGTCTTAACCCCCTGATGCCGTGCCTACTGGACCCATTATTGCCACTAAGTGGAATTTCCTAAGCCATTCACACTTCTTTTAGAGTGAAAATCTTTGGGTTATGGTTCATCGACTATGCTGTTCACCTCATTGGTCTCGGTCGAATTCTGTATATGGAGTACAACTCCGCGATCTTGAACAACTTCGTGAACATAAACAATTTTATTTACACACATATTTTCGAATCGTGAAGTGGATGATTTACTAGTGGTATTCTACATTTCGTCAATTTTCATACCTGGCTATTTGGTCACATTTGAGCAAATTCGAAACTATCGGTGGCAACGATGTACACAGAGGTATTGTGCATTTTTGCAGTTTTATTGCCTAATGGCCCCGGGCATCATCTCTAGTTATGTCAGTAAATGCATTCGCTTTTGTATGATGTAACTCAAGACGCCTATGTAGGCTATGCATTGGAGCACCTGTAGAAACTCAGGTTTGCTCGCTTCAAAAGCATGGCTGGCTAGATATAGGCCTAAGACAGTGTGGATAAATTGACTATACCATGACAAGTAGGCAGCGGGACTACAACATACAGTGACGGTTCATAAGTTTGAGCACCCCTATTCTGCCTGCCCTAATCCCACCAATCTAAGACCTTAAAATTATGACAATTTAAAACTATTTAAGTAGGCGGTCTAACTTTCTAGAAAGGCGGTAGCGGAAAGGGGTGCTCAAACTTATGCACCGTCACTGTATTTCATCTTCTGCCGGATGAAGTTAATAATCAGTGGGGTCATATGTCTCGGCATCTCCAATGGCTCTACACCAGTGGGTGGCTTGGCAGTTTGGCGGCGTTCCGTTTATCGAGACTCTGGGGCTGGGTAAAATCCATAATAATGATAGGAGGCGTGGAGAATAGCAGACTGAAAAGTAGAGAAATGTTGCGAAAGGGGGCGCAAGATGGATATAAAGAAAATATCCAAAAAGGCAAAGTGTGAACTACCATTCTTCTGCAACATACAGCATATGTGCCTAATGTAGGTAAGTCCTTAGCTTTAATATCACTCTCAATGGCAGTTCGTTTCTTTTTATATGCATTTGACTTGTGCGGATCATCCGCAAAGACAGAACGCGCTGACGCGACCTCCGATTGGCCAGTAACATGTGATGTGGATCGGTAGCTTCGCGGGGGTTGCAAAACCTCGCAAAAGCCAAGGCTTGGATCTTCGACAAGGATGGATGTACATTGTACAAACTATAAAATCCATCTCAAGTCCATCTGCCTCATATCCAGCCTAGACCAATTGGGCCCCCAAAATAATGGCCGATCCGGGCCAAGCCGGGGCAACCCACTCACGGTCCTCCGCACAACGGGTCCGCCTCACCTGTGAAGCATGTCGCCAGCGCAAAGTGAAATGCGACAAGTTAAGTCCTTGTACAAGCTGCGAGCGACTTGGCCTCGTTTGTGTTCCTGTGGAACGCGCGCGTCTGCCGCGCGGTCGCGCGCGAAAACCCGAGCGGATTGTAGGCTCGGATAAGGAACTATCTGAGCGGGTAGCGAGACTCGAGAAACTCCTGAAAAGAGTCGCCAATGACCGAGGGGATGAATTGCAAGTTTCCTCGACTGTCCCTGCGTCCTCACATTCATACACACAGCAGGGGTCGGCGGCAGAGGCCAGCACGGCCGGTCCGAATGTTCGGCAGGATCAGAATGACTACTTGCCCGGTGCAACCCAGCCACATCTTCCTCGCCCTTCAACTGCGTATGTGGGGAGTCCATTCTGGGAGGATATTATGCAGCAGGTGAGTTTGTTAAACCTATGGTCTGCGGATGTGATGATTTGGCTCATGCCATGATCCCTAGACCCAAGAATTGCGCAGTGTCCTTCAAGGTCGTATCGAAAATGAAGACCATGGTGCCAAAGATTTAGTGTCTGGTTTTGGCACATCGCTTGTGCGCTCAGAAAGCCCTGAAAGCTCGTCCAACTCACCCCAGGTCAACAGACCATTGAGTCTTCAACCCCAAGTCCGGCACAGGTTATGTGACATTTTCTTCCGTAATGTCGATCCTCTCTTCAAAATCTTGCATCGACCGTCGCTACAAGCATTTATTAAGGAGGGCAAGCCGTATCTTGACTATGAGCAGGATCACCAGGCGCCAGCCACCCTTGCTTCGGCTATTTATCTTTGCGCTATGTGTACTCTTGAGGAGGTGGAGTGTCAGTCAATGTTCGGCATGAGCAAAAGGATAATCGTCGCAGAATTTCAGAAAGAAACCGAATATGCGCTCGCAAAGGCAGACTTTGTCACGACGAATGATCTCACTGTTCTGCAAGCATATATTATCTCTCTGGTGAGTACGACGACAAGTTGTGTCTCGCGCCCCCTCATGTTAAGGCTAGGATCTAATCTAAACGCCTCTAGCTCGCCGCGCGATCTCAAGACCAAAGCCGAAGGGTCTGGACCATGTTGAGCATGGCACTCCGAGTGGGCCAGGCATTGTCCCTCCACATGCCTCAGCCGCCATTCACCGTGCGACCTTTCGAACACGAGATGCGCAAGCGAACATGGCTAGGAATCGGCGTTCTCGATGTAGCAGCTTGTCTAGACAGGGCATCTGAGCCGATGATGCAATCCGCATGGCTCGATTACAACCAGCCATCGAATATCAACGACGAGGACATATGGTTCGACATGCCAGGGCCAATCCCCGAGCACACAGAAGGCACGTTTACCGACATGACGCACACCTTGGTTATCGCAGCGGCAGTGTCCGTGACCCGTACCATTGCATTTTCGGACATGACCGAGCCAGCCGTGACTATCATGAGTCTGCGGCAGCAAGTCGTCCACGATTTCCAACAAAAGACGTCAGACCTTCTGAGCGGGTGCAGGCCCGACCTTTCGGACTTCCAGTGGTACGCGCAAAAGACCGCGGTTGTTATGGGCAGCTGGCTGCAGCTAGCCTCTCTCCGGCCGCTGCAACGAAGCTATAACTTCATACCCCCGAAAGTTCAAGGGAATGCCCTCCTCAAAATCGCAGGGGACAACCTGCAATTGTCGCAGGAGGTATACAACTACCCAGGCGCCAGGTCTTGGCAGTGGTACGGCTCGATGTGGGTTCATTGGCACGCGTTGGCTGTGGCCCTTGCCGAACTCTGCGTCTGCAAAGATCCTGTGGTGATGTCAAAGTACTGGACCGTCGTTGACGACGTCTACCAGCGCTCGCGGCTCGTAATTGCGGATTCTGAGAAAGGGATGCTCTGGAAGCCTTTGGAGAGACTGATGTCACAGGCAAAAACGCTGAGGAAAGAGCTCCTCGGTGTTGATGCTTCTCGCCAAGCAGTGTCTCAATACCCTTTCGACGGCATGTCTTCCGAGCTTTTCTCGAAACAACCTGAACATCAACACGATCTCGCGGACTTCTCGCTCGATTTGAGAGAGGCCGTTGACGAACCGCGAGATTCGCACGTCTCGGAAGTGCCGACTTCCTTTGCGCCGGTGCCCTGGCCTAATGTATGGGATGCGATGGATCTTAGTGAGCCGTCCTTGCAGAGTGGCTCCGATGACACGGCTTGGTTGAGCTATGAGAACTTTATTGAAAATGTTTACGACAGCGTTGATTCTATATTCTTACCACGGTGAGAACTCTGCAAGTGAACGGGAACATGGGTTTGCATAAAAATGCCCAGGCACCATGCCTAGCAGTGATGCAGTGATATATATATATATATATATATATATAGCCAAATCTCCACTCTTGTGTCATGATCATCAAGGAGACACTTTAAAAGAGTTTAATACAACAATAAATAAAATGAAATAAATATCCAACCAAGGCCACCAAGTGCTCGCAGGCGAGGCCCCTCGCATCCATCTTCGATTACAATACAGACTCGGCTCCCAAAACTCTATAGGATGTTTTCCTCATAGCCTTCGCGTCAGATAGCCCAGAGAGCATGGAGTGGCCGAAATCTTTCAAGTCCCAATGGCGCGGTTCTCGAGCGGAAAGTCCACGATACCCTCGTCTTTGTCAGAGGAATCTAAGCTGACCTGCTCACCAATGACATCTGGATATCGCATTCAGATGGGTCATACGCAGAACACATTGCCACCCAGCATCTATGTCATTCCGCTCGCAATCATGCAGTAATTGGATACCTGATCCAACACGCTGATCCCGCATTGGACTAGACTCAGTTGATTATTGGCCTTTCTCATCAGCCAAGAGCAAGTTTCTGGCGTCGAGCATTAATTTTCATATGAGGTGGATAAAGTGTTGCAGGGCCAAGGTCCCAACTTGACTCAGAAACCTTAGAGCCATCATCATTCGCACCTAAACTCTCGGCGTCAGGTATCTCTGGCAAAGCCTGCGATGTAGATGGCAAGTGAAGCTCGTCGTCGAGAAGGCGTCGGTAAGTGCACTGCTTTTCTCTTTGGGTGCATTCCGCACACGGCATTTTCTCATTACAGGCTTTCCTGAGGCCCGCACAGCTATCACAGGCACGTTTGTGTTTCCCACCGCGCTCCGGCTGGGGGATTGTATGGCCGCTTTCTACACGGGCCTTGCACGATTTCCAATGCCTCCGTAGCACATCCCTGGGTGTTCTTGTCAGCATACATGATGGGGTGACATATCTCTTCGGGAGTAATGGAAGATGACACACCCTCGGCTGAATGAAGAGCCGCAAAACAAACAAAGGTGGCTCTTTACCGTGTGATCTATGGAAGTCATTACTATATTCCGTCCGAGTACCATTCGAAACATACGAGTAAGGGCATGGCGTTTCATATGGTCTAATCGCTGAAAATTCGAGGAACATTCTTTACATTTCCACTTCTTCGGGCCTTTTGGGGTCTCGGCTTTCCGTACTTGTTGCTCCATGGGGTTCGGCGTCGGTTTAATAGAAGGCACTGAAAATGTGACAGCCTTAGATGGTGTGGATTTCACATAACTAGTTAGATGACTTGCGTGTCGGAGGACGGGCTATAAACAGCCTTCAAGTGGGTGTATCCCGCCAAGACTCGGATGAAATCGAAATTAAATGTGGAATCCGAGATCCGAAGTCAGTTATAGACTTGGCGGCTCGAAGCGACGATGATGAGCGAGACTCGGTAATTCGACGTTGGCGATTGGCGAGGGAAAAGGAGAAATCGGTTGTGGAATTCAGCCCGTCGCGATTCCCCCGCCAATGACGATAATTGGGCTCAGTAAATAGGGAGTTTTCTCCTAAGCAGTCAAATATTTAAAAAATATATAAAGGGTGAATTGTCGAGGTTGTCAATTTGTCACCTGGGTAGCTAAAGAAATCAGATTGTGCAGACGAAAGGTCAGAAGGAAAGAAGAAGTCATTACTGGCCTGGAATATCAGGCCACAATATCAACCTGCCCATGTCAGCGCAGATCTATCACATTGAAAGCATGTCTTCTATTGGTCCAGACTCAAAGGCCATGGAAAATGATATGAATGAAGCTCATTACAACAACTGGCCCAACGACAAAGGTGTAAGTGAAGTGATGTACACCTCGAACTATACAGACTAATCCCTGCGTAGTTCGATCCTGAATACGAACAGCGCAACCCCATCGAGCTCTCTGTGGTAGGACAGATTCCTGCTTACGCTGCTGGAGTCCTGTATCGTACAGGTCCTGGAAAAAGTCATGTTCAAGCTGAGAATGGAGAAACACTACGGCTTTCCCACTGGTTCGATGGATTCGGTCAAACCCATCGTTTCCAGATCTTTGCGCCAGATGACTCCCATACTTCTCCCCGGGTTTTCTACAACTCTCGCTTCTCAACCGACGACCTTATTGAAAATGCAAGAAAGACAGGATCTCTGAACATGGTCAGTTTCGGACAGAAACGCGATCCTTGCAAGAGCGTCTTGGGCAAAGTCCAAACTGAATATGTCCCGCAACCCACTCCGTCGAGTAGCAACATAAGCGTCACTCTTTCAATCAACGTCCCGGGCCTTGATCCCAAGCCCGATGAGTCGACTTCTCGCTGGAGCGATTCCCAGGGAATTCGAACTCTCTATGCGAAGACCGACTACAATGCCTTCAAGAAGCTCGATCCAGAGACCCTGGAGCCTATCGGCCTGGCCTCGCAGACCATTCTGCACCCTGAACTTTCGGGGCAACTCTCTGCTTCCCATGCTCGCTCTGATCCTATTACGGGAGACATGTTCAATTATAATCTCACCTTGGGACCAACCTGTACATACCGTGTTTTCGGGGTCTCCGCTTCAACGGGGGAGACCACAATCCTAGCAACCTTCCCCGCAACACCAGCTTACCTTCACTCTCTTCTCATCACAGAGGACCATGTTGTCTTGTGTGTGTGGAACGCGCACGTAAATCCCCAGCTATTGAACTCCTCGTTCATGGGTTCAATTTTGCCAACAGACCCAAGTCAGCCGGCGGTGTGGTATGTCATTGACCGTAAGCACGGCAAGGGATTGATCGCGACATATGAAAGCCCTGCATTCTTTTGCTTCCACACGGTCAACGCATGGCTCGAACCCTCGAAGGAGAATCCGGCGGATATAGATATCGTTGCAGACATTGTGAGAACCGACAGCTCTGAATTCTTGCAATCCGTCTATTATGAGAACTTGATCTCTTCGTTGGATACCGCCAAAGCCTTCCAAAAGAAGAGAGACAATTCTTTCCGTACATCCGTTACCCGGTTCCGCCTGCCTGCCGTGCCTTCCACTCCATGCATCGATACTAAGAAAGCAACCGTCGAGTGGTCCGTTTGCAAATCGTCGTCGCCTGAGCTGCCAACTATGAATCCGAAAAGAGTCACTCAGAAACACCGATATCTCTACGCTGTGACCTTCCGCGGAGAAGCAACTCTGACAGATGGTATCATGAAGCTCGATTGTGATACCCAGCAAGTTCAGCTCTGGGCATGCCATGGCCAATCGCCCGGTGAGCCCATCTTCGTCGCTAACCCCGAGGGCACTAGTGAGGATGACGGTGTACTTCTTAGCGTTGTTCTCGACGGGATGCGTGGCAAGAGTTATTTGCTCTGCCTCGATGCTCGCAGCTTGTCCGAGCTTGGCCGAGCAAATGTCGATGGGGCTGTTGGGTTTGGATTCCATGGACAGCATGTTCCGACTGTGGGTGGAATGCCTACAGGTGACTACTAAGTGTGAAATTATTTTTCGACACCTACTCTTATTACATAGATTGATATCTGTTCGATTCCATAGTCCAGTCTTGGCCTCTTAGGTTCCTTCACTAACTCTCAAATCAGCTCAAGTTGCACCATGCATTTCGACGTCTCTGCAACCATCTCCGCAAAACTACTATTATTACACAAATTGACATCTATTTTCGATTGTTTCGAATCACAGCATACAGCATACTGTTTTCCATAATAATCTTGGAAATGTTCTATCAAATTTATGCATAGGTCCTAGATTGCGTTCTCATTGGCTAAATTTTCTTGGGAGCTAAACCATGCCCTAAGGTGACATCAACTCCATGTCCATTCCCTTTTGCATATACCATTGCTTGAAAACATCCTAATCCAACTTACGAAATGGCATCTCCAGGCGAAAACAACATCTTAATTCTTCTAGCAACAATGCAACCAAGCCTAGACCCAACAACCTACGTCTTCCTCACAACCAAATCACCCCTTCACTCACTACCCCTCTCGACACTCCAACCGCAACTAATCGTGCAAGAAGAAGAGGGCACAACAATCGTGACAACGGAAATGCTCGCCACATCGCATGGCTTCAACGAGCCAACCTTCCCCTGCAAGAAGATCTCTCTTACTATCCACTCCAGCCTGGAAGCGGTCGGCTTGATCGCTGCCATTACTAACCGGCTGAAGGACCACGGTATCAGTACCAATGTCGTCAGTGGGTATTTCCATGATCATATCTACGTACCCGTTGCGAGAGCGGAGGATGCCATGCTGCTTTTGGAGGAAGTGGCTGCTGAGGCGAGGGGATGAAGGCGGAGTTGATTGACTTTATTTGCGGTGCAGCGGCGGAAGTTGTTATTCGGATATCATTTTCGAATCGAGCATATTGACCTAGTTCCCTCAAGCGCCTGTCGACTTGGTTGATGATTTTGGAACCCTCAAGGGCGGCCATTTTCGGCGTCAATTCCACAGTTTTGTCATAAATGTTATTGTCTATGTTTGTTTTCCTGAATAGATATATACCTTTAAGCAAGACAAGGGAAGTAAAACGAAAAAAGGCGTGAATTAGACCACGAGCCTCGGTATACTAACTAATAAATCTCGAATTTCTATCTTAAGAGACTCCGGAAAAGATCACACATCAACCACCCCATGCCCATACCCAGGTAGTAATGCAACTCCACTCTTCGGGGGCTTTTTTGCGTGCAAACTTAGGCTTAGATCAAAGCGACAAGCCATTAAAAACAAAGCAGAAACAAGAAAACACCGCCAATGTGGCCCTGGCTCTTAGATATTGTACATTTAGACAAGATGGAGGACCTGGGAACCAGAAAGACAGTGAGAACATGAATAATCAGGGTATTAATCGTACAGAGATATTGATTCATGAGAGAAAAAGAGGCAGTTGCGACGGAAAACATGTAATACGAAATTTAATAGTCTACCTCTTTCTCGATCACCATGATTAACTCGGTAAGCTCCTTGCGCAGCGCACGATTGCGGTCCCAGACTTCAACGATCTTGGGGCGCTGACTCGTGAAGCAGGCCTTCTTCCAGGGAAGTCCACCGTATTTAGACGTGGTCCGATTCGGCAGGCCTCGGGCAATGTTGCGCAGCACCAATGCAGCTTTGTAGGCCACGCCGAATGGCTCCCCTTTTTCATTGATCGGAGTATCCATATAGTACCATTTGCGGACAATGCGCTCTTGGAGAACCGCACGCTTGGCGGTCGTGGGCTGTGCGCCGGCGGGGCGATCTTCAGGCAAATGAGACGAAACGTGACCAGCGACCATGGATGTGTTGGCGCTGGGCCCAGATGCTCGGAACCGTACACAGTGGTCCCATTGACACGTGTGGATGGGAGACTCTGCGGTATCAAGCTTATACTGGCCGGGGGTGTCGGTGGCTTCCAGGTTCATGTGGTCGCCGAAAACATGATCCCGAAGGTCTGTCGGAGATGTGAATGCACGCTGGCACATCTTTGAAGGCTTTGAGTTATCCGCCCATCTGCAGTAGGAGTAAGGGAAGCCTTCAAATGTGTGAGCAGTTTCTAAAGGTCGAATGCCCTTGATAATGAATTTGGTGGCAGTGCCAGGGCCGTTGATGACCTGTGCTTGGGCGTTTGTGAACGTATTGCTGACGTTCTTGATGAACTCAGCAGCGGGAAGAACGCCTCCTCCAGTGACACGGGGGTCTGCAAATCGGCTTTGGTAGGCTTGCCATAAAGCGATCTGTGTGATCTCGCATTCCGAATCCTCGATGAAACAGCAACGTAGCCATTGAGAGCTTCGCTCCGGCTCCGAGAGTTCCATGAGCTTTTCCAAAAGCTCCGGGGATACACGAGGGATGTCAGTAGGTGGAGGTGCGACTTTTTCTTCCTGAAGAACAGTTTCCTTTTTGGTAGGCCGTGCTTCATAGGTCAGAAGTGCGATCATGCGAGGAACAAAGACGATTGGGAAATTGAGGACATCCATCAATGTCTCAATATTGTCATGACTGAGCGTGTATTGATACCAAAAGTCCAGTGCACCACTCAGAATATCCTTGTCAAGGTCGAGAAGCGTGTGATAATACATCTGCTGGAGAGTCGGTCTGGTCAGGGTTTCCATGGCCCGATTTGCATCCGCATCGTCCAGCTCAGTGCCGAAGTGTGTCAAGGCCCACAGGGACCGCACGACGTGGGCGCGGTCTGGGGAGTCAAGGCAATTCACCAAAGAAATCCACAATGGATCTTCAGGGTCAGTTCGCAAAAACTTGGTGACCTCCTCGGCGATATCTAGTGCATCATTTTTGATTTCATTCAGTCGAGGTTGATTGGGAGCATTGATCAAGATAACCAAAAAGTCCCGTAATAGACCTTTTGCATACCGCGACACATAGAATGCGTTCTCCTTCAGGAGCACCATGTTTCGCAACACTAACGTGGCCTCTTTGATGTTTCTCAGCCGATGATTGAAGTCGTAGGTCTCAAGGCTGTCATCCGGGAGGTTCACTGGGATTTTGCCAATTTTGTCCAGAATATCCCGGGTGCCATGTAACGAATTGAGCACGTTAACACGGTCAATCGGTTTCCGAGGATCATACTGGAATTCCCACCTCACCCCTGTGCAGAGTTGTGTGATGTCAAGTGCTTTCTGCATCAAAGTTTCCGCAAGCAAGGGAAATCCTTCAAATTTGAATTTATCCCATCTTTGATTTGAAATTTGTACCAGGTGATACAGCGCAAAGTCGACTTCGTCTGGAATACCTGACTGCAGACCATAGTGGGCACGTTTGTAGATGTGATCCGCTAAAGGAGACAAGACCGTCAGTATTTCTAGCCAATTCATGGGATGCAAGGGAGACTGACTTCTTGGAACCTCGAGATATTTCAGTGGGAAATAAGGGTCATGATAATCCAATTGCCGGGGCATCTTCGAAGGGTCACGCAGATGGGAAAATATGACCGGTCGGTTCCCTGGGGTCGGGACTTCCCTCATCGACATGGGAACCTGTCGATTGTCTGTTCCTTCCCAGCTATCGACTGTGAACTGCGCGCTTTGGGGATTGGCGGCCGGATTGATGTTTACATGATGGGGGCTAGTTGATGGTTGTGGCGATGCGACTCCATGATGGATGTGTGATCGACGCGCAGGGGCTGTATCGGGGATGAAGGGTTGGTTGACTTTTGGTGCATGGCGTAGGCCCTCTGTGGGTGGTGTTAGTATAGGTACCACAGCTGTCGGCTGAGAGATGGTAGACTTACGTCGCAGCGAGGTGCGAGGGGTAGAGGCAGACATGGTGCTGCTGAAGGAACGCGACAGCGTTGCGCCGTTCACGTTTTCAAACGCACGTGTGGTTCCGTCCTTGCAGCGGATGAGACCGACAAACTTGACCTCGAGAATTCGAGGGACAATCGGGGACAAGACCTTCTAGTCTCAAGATCGAAGACTTTGAAGACACGACTCGAGGGATGTTGCCCTTGATCCGTCTTTATTTGCAAACCAGTCGCAGGAGAAATTGCAGGGGTGTCAACTTGCGACTTCGTGCGGCTTCTGAAGGTCGGAGTACAAAGGCGATACAACCTCGATTCTGACCGGAAGAGGTGATGGTGATGGTGACGGCCAGTGGCTGTGACTCGGCTTGAGTCGCAAGTTTCGCGCGTTCGAACGTCGAAGCACTAGATGCGACGGTGGAGAGAGCAAAGTGCTCAGCAGCAACCGCGGTTCTAAGGTAGTAGTAAATTTGCGCGTAGGCGATCAAAATCAGCGATATGTTTCAAGAGTAAAATAATCGTCAATGCCTTGCGGCCCTGGAGGGCTAGAGCTGGGCTTGCGATCAACGGCACTGATCAGCCAAAAGTCCGCGCTTCTCCAGGGCGCGTTGTCGGATTATTGATTGTTCCTATTGATGACTAAGGAATGTCTTTGTATATATTGATGCCTCAGGCTGTCACATTCTTCAGTAGGACAATAGACACAATAGACACAATCAGTCTTGCTGTCGTGATTGTACGTTATACATATTTTTCAATTTCGAATGATTCAACGAATAAATATGACAAGTTTGATTGACTGACTGATCAGCTGCATAGAGTGTTCCTAGAGGAACCCAGCCATATCATATCTTTTCGAATCTCAACATGCCTTCCAAGAGTTTAATATTTCGATATGACATACAAAGTATACATTATTTACTACCTAGGTCCAGTGCCATCTAGTTAAAGATCATAATCGGGTGGGTAATGCTAAGTGACAGTGGGAGTGCTGACGGAGGGTTCTCAATCTCGCCCTCACCACGAACTTCGTTCCACTAGACACCACGCACACCTTTCATCTATATTATACTCATGGCTGCTTTTCTGAGCCTTTACTCTTCCTTGATTGTACTGGCTCTATAAGATGCAGCAACTGCAACCACCCACCCCTCCCCAAATCCTTCGTCTAGCCATCGCCAAGTTCTCCCATACAACCACTACCATCGATCATGTCGGTCCACTGACATGGAATCATGTCCCCGGAAATGGAGATCTGGCTTGCATCTTTGAGAAGTTCCTGGATTCTGGGCTTGTGCCATCGAGGATGATCCAGAAAGTGGTTCGAGGTGATGGCATCCTGGTACACACTCACTCACGGATAAAGCTTGACAAGAGTCAGTAATGCTGAACATCTGGGTCATCCAATTTAGGAGCAGATTGATCTCGTATTCCTTACTCGCATGGCAGGAATGCAGGCCCGGCTGATACCACCCGCAAGGTCACACTTTGCTGTCGTTGTAAAATCGCCTTGTCTTGCGGTTAAGTATCCTCATGGCGGAACACATGTGTGTATATTCTGTACTATGCATGACTTCGGGCAGTGACTCCTAACAGAACCCTCTTCTGACTCCGCAGATTCGTCGGTTTCAGATCAAATTCACCACAGAGCGTGACTACTTCACGGCCTTGGCTCTTCTAGGCGAAATTAACTGTCCATTGACAGAAGGCAAAATACCAGTTCCAGCAATACAACGATTTCCTTCGGTGTCATCATGGACGTCGGGGCATCTCTCTTCCATTGCCCCCAGGACTGCAAACACGGCGGCAACTTCAACTGGCAGCAACGGAGTCCACTTTTACCCCACGGGAGTATTGGGGTCTGGAATGACAAGTATGTAACGATCTCTTTGGCCGCCGCTCGAGCAGCTATCTCACATTTTTGATTCGGTAGCACCCATTCGAGCATCATCTCCCGCAAGCACTATTTCACACCCCGTGTCCAGGCTGGGCCCTCCCTATCTGCCGTCCCAAAGCATGGAACCAGTAGACTTATCTCAACCACTGCACGCATCTGCTCTCACGCACACGGCAAACACAGAACCCGAGCCACCAAACTCCCAGCTTTCTACGATATCTGCAATTCACGACGTCGACCAGTTAAACCAGATGCTACCTCCCAAGAGAGACCTGCCCTTCTCAAAGCCAACCGCAAGGAATCGGCGCGCTGCAAGCTCGACTCAAACAACACGGAAGCATTCCTGGTCTGCCCTGTCGCCAAATTCTCAGCCCACTGAACCAGCCAAGGATCCAGAACCTCGTCCAAGTCGTCTCGTGGTCGAGCCTAATATTGATTCTGATTTGCCCGAGTCCGATTCGCAAGTCTTATCCCAAATGAATCCTTGCCCCGAGGCGAGTCAGCCATTGTTGCTATATGAAGAGGCCCCTGCTTCACAGAACACAGCTCCTATCTGTGAATCTGCCGAGCAGACATCTCAAGTACCCAGCGTTCAGAACACATCGCACACACAGGATAATCAAACTAATTCGGACTCCAACCACAACCCGGCCATCAAACAAAGCGATAAAGTCCCAGCCCTAACAGAAGACCATCTTACGCGGTATCTAACTTCACCGACCGCTGAGCGAATTGCTTTTCTCGAGAACTGGATGTGCGAGTTGATTGACGATGACAGTTTCATGTCTCTGTGCGAGGACGTGGATGGAACATGGAGGCGGTTTGCATTCGGACAAAGGAAGTGAGGGATGAGGGACTGCTATTTGATTGTTCTCTGGGATACTATATCTTATTTTGCTAATGTCTGCAAGTTAATTTTTGCTTCATGTTCAGTACTCCTCGTTCGGTTATATCATATCAACGATCTGTTTCCAGATAAATTCACCTAGAAGCGTATGAAAACCCAAGTTCCACTTTTCCACTGAACATAGCTTGATAGCCTATAGACATTAGAACAGGCGGCATAGGGCATACTGGGTCACTTGGATATTCGTCTGCTACCCTTTGTATGCTCCTGAAGGGAACTCACGGCTATAGGCTTATTCGGTCAAGATCTAGACCTTTTACAGTAGGAAGAACCTATTATAATGAGGCTAAGCCTGGCTTTGGTTAGCTATACTTGTCACTGATCTCCGAGCACACGAAACAGACTAGCACTAGTGGGAACATAACCTTTTTTTTTTGAGTGAAGCTTTACCTATTGATGCCAAATTTGAATGTAAAAGTAGCTACTAGTAGTGTGGTTGCGGGTACGGGCCGAGAAACAAATCGTGGTATTCTCCAAAATGGGAAACCGTCTTCAAAATCTACTATAACCCCATTTTGTTGAGGTCCTCTTAGTTATATTATTTGCACCCAAGTTAAAAAAACCAAGGTTATGTATAAATATGATAGGATATTGAATATCATCCATCAAAGAGCGGTAAGCCCTCTTCAGTAGCTTTGCGCCAATTGCCCATGATACACCGTGATATCGTTGGGCAACTCCGGTAATGGGACAACGATAGGGACGGGTGTGTAACACATGCGGTACAATAATAAGAGCAGCTAGATGCAGAATACGTCACACAGTGCTTGTGCGTGATATGGTAGTGTTATAGTCAACTAATGGCACAGACGCCACTTTCCAAATTTGGAAGTACACTGAGTTTCTGCTGAACTCAAATATAGGGGGATATTCATACAACGACACAGATTGAGACTGAGTACGAAGGATATTCACGTAGCAAAACACAGATTGGGACCGACTATGAAGGATACTCATGAGACAACTCGGATTGAGACTGAGCGAGGGTGTATACTCGTCTAACAACACACATTGAGACCGAATACGAGGGATTCATGCAGCAACACGGATGGAGACGGACTATGATGGAATCTCTACTATCAGACTCATCTTCCGTTTAGTATGAATACCTCCAGGATTCCCTAGCAGATAGATAGATCACATTCATCGCTCAGACCTTCTTGTTATTTGAATCAAACATGCCTTTTATCGCCCGGACAGGCGCTCTGTCCGAACTAGCTCTGCGCGGTGGGCTCGTTGACCCCCGAGCTGATACTCAGCCTTCTTTCGCCAAACGGATGAACTGCCGGGACGTAACCGACTTCATTTCCAATCCAACCAAGTTTCCTTCTCTAGGATCGAGCCAGGAAACGACTGCTTGGGATACACGCCGCAAGCCAGCTAGCGAGCATCAGACCAAGCTCGACAATATCCTGGCCCGTTCGAAGGAGCTCGCGCTGTCTTCGGGAGAAAGGAATTTGGACCATCCTTATCTGACCTCGTCCCAGGGTTAGTCGTCAGCGGTGGTCTCAGCCGCTCGCCTGCTTTTGATTGCCTGCCTGTCGCCTCCCACTGGACTGATCGCAACGTCGAGGCTTCGGCAGAGGACCCTGCAGCCACCGTTCGCCTTTCTTCAACTTGGGGTACCATCCATGTTATGGGAGAAGGGACTACCATGGCCAGCCCTCTCGGAGCCCCGGGCTGGTCGCTTAAGACTCACGGCATAGGGACGGTCGAAGCTGGGTCGAATAAATTTTCTCAGCAATACTGCCCTGAAACCGACACGCTCACGACGACGGTCAACTTGGCGCGTCGTCCCGATACCGCTCAGACTGGGGGAGTTCTGGCGGCCGTCGCAAGTGCCTCTTGGATGCGCAACACGCGTGTTGCGGACGCTGTCGACTGCGCAGCTGGTCTCCTAGCCGACGCCTCGGCTCTTCTAGAGGCCCGTAATAAGGTGATCACGATTGGAAGGACGGAGCGCCTAGGATTTGCGGAGGTGAGACCGGCCGTACTGCCCTCGTGGTGCTCTGTTCGCAAACCCCTCCCACCGAAGCTGAGCGGCGTGGCACTCTCACCCGACGAGGCCACTGCCAACCTCGTCGCGGCGGAGGGTTGTGAGGGCCCTCTGCTCAACACCAGCATTTTCTCTATGGGAATAGGCTACAACCGGGGCGTCTATGGCGGTTCAATCACTGGCTTATGGGCTCTCATGGACGCAGGGTTTGTCATAGATTACTCCGTAGGCGTCACGGACACTGCGATGGCGGGGAAGCTCTCTTCTGCTTTCTCGGATGTAGCCGCCATTGCTGAAGTATCCGCCTCCGCCGGCCCGCACATGACCGATATTCGGATCGTCAAGGGCTGCAATTATGGATGCTTACGCCAGAAGACGGTTATCGAGGATACCCAGCCTGCCGGCTCCCGCCCATGTATGGTTGTATGGGACGATCTCGCCCGGCTTGCCCGTTACAAGCTAGCGGATGCCGTCTTTTGTCATGTCTATTACGATGCGGGTGGCGGCGAATACATGGCCGCTATCGCCGGCCTTGGGTGCGTTGTGCACGACTGGATTGATATCGGAGCTGATGTATCATGCGGAGAAGTGAGCAATATCATCCCGACTCTGACGCGGGGGTCTTTGGATGAGGGACCACTGGCTGAAGTCTACTCGCGCTTGCTTGGTGTTATGATCTGGTATCGGGACAACGATCCCTACAACCCGGCAGCGCTCTGTCTTCTCTTCACGCACTGGTGGCAGCTCGCCAACTGCCGACATAGACCCATCGGCCTTCTTGGCAGGACAGACCTCGGTGTAAGCGCGGGCGTCGCCGGCACCGTACCAGGAGAGAGGCCCTCATTGGAGCACTTTAGAGCATGCGGTACTCCGGTCGACCGTGGGGAGCGTCCCTTTGCCAACGCCGAGGCGCGGCTTCAAGCAGTCCTTTCCTCTAACCCTTTGCCGGAAACTCCTGCCGTCATCGACCTCCTAGTAAACCCTATGCTCGCTTATATGAAAGGGGCTGATAGCCTACCCACTGAGAGTGAATATGTGGGGGCCGTCCTCGCTACTGAACTGGCTTACCCCCACGATCAGAAGATCATAGAGCTATGGGACCTCGCTATCATCATGTGGGAGTGCGGCTCTATGTGGGCGGCTGGAGTGGCAGGTCTTTGCTATACTCACACCGGAAAGGCCAACTGCGACAGGGCTCGGTATGACTTGAATGACACCACCTGGAACTGATCGTGCCATCGTCAATAGTCTCCAAGTGCGGAAGCATTCGACTATGTGCTCATTGTTCTTGTCAAAGGGGTGCGAATACGGTCTGCAGGCTGAAGGTATGACACCAGGGAAACCACTAACAGAGTGCTTGGCATATGATGTCTGATACGCCCTGTACAGTAAGCTAGTTGTCAAGAAATAGGAAGGTTCATCGATTTTCCGGTCTTTACAACCTATGTGACTTCAAGGGTTTTCGTTTTGTTTTGTCTTCTTGTCCGCACAAATTGTCACCTGGGCAATTCGGACCACTTTGTCATTCTTTTAGTTCGGGATTTACTGTCATTGGATTTGATCCATATCATCGTCATACCTAGATCTCTCGCTAATTAGATTAGTGAAAACAAGGCTCAATAAAGGGATCACTCAAAACGTGTTGAATCTAGCTGCTAGGCGGAACGGATGAATGCGTCAGAATTGCACTTGTACCAGAAAAGAAGCCCTGAGAGTTTCGTAGTTATCAATTTCAGACAATCAAGCGACAAGCTGGAAAAGTGACGCATCATCGATATCTTCAACGCGCTGCACCTCCGCATTACTACCCTTGAGACCATTGACTTTATACTAGAAAAGGCCATCGTTCAAAAAGTAGACATGGTAGGCAGACCCTCGGAACCAAAAGAAACCCCTCCTGCGGCTGGGAACTATATCAAATTGTGTAACGGAGTATGCAACTGGAACATCGATCAAACCTAGTACATCGCTTGCAGCCTTCGTCCAGGTACGCGGCAACACTGGGTTCCATCATAACAGCCAGGTATTTATCATCGTCGGAGCGGATCCTTGTCTTCCCATCATGGCTGGAGAGCTAAAGCACGTCCCAATACTGTACGGATTCCCACCAAAATATAGCTTGGATTCGAACTTCCCAGCATCGCCTGACCAGAGACCATCGCCGGTAATGGGATATAAGGAAAACCATTTATCGGGGTGATAGAGATCAACCCCGTCAGCGGAAATAGGACTGCCCGTATCAATGACAGGATTGGACAGTGGCGGAGGAATGGGGGTTTCAGCATCGCCGTAGTCTCCCACTGGGTCGATTTGGACTTTGATAGCATCATCGACGTGGTCCGCCAACTGTCCGTCCTGGGCTAGGTACTGCGGCCCATTGCGGATGTAGAATACATCTCCTTCATAGTCGGCATACTCGGTGAGAACGCCGACATAGGTGCGATTATGAATTATCGTTTCTCCGTCATCAGAAATGTAAAACAAACTACCACGGGCAGGGTAATCTCTGCATATCTCGAAATTGCTGCCGTGATAGTGAATAGCAAGGTATTGGCCAGTGACGATAAATCTGAATGGCCTATCAAAACCTTCGTCCTCCATGCCGGGTACTTCGATACTAGCAAAGAACTGTTCAATATTAGCTAAGCTATTTGATTCGTTGAGGTAGTGTTGATACGGGGAGGCGAAAACAAAAAGAATAGTGGCGTGGCCATAATAAACGTGGAGTTCAAGAAGGGAAGGAAACCTTATGGAGCATTATCGATGCTTTCCAGCCAGCCTAACCCTAGGTGGCCCGGGGTAAATGTGGCAATCTGTAGTGAAACAACAGCGAGACGCAGGAGAGAATTGTTGACAGAATGCCAACCCAATCGCCTTTGTTGAGTTTGCATTTGTGAAGAGGTAATTCCGAAATTTCGAACCTTCTTTGGGGTTAGTCTCTTTGAGATAGGCCCTAAAAGGAAGAGCCATTTCGCGCCCGAGATTCGATATGTATGTCATACATATAAACGATATATTCCATTCAAGGGATAAATCCCCTCTTCCTAACAGAGGCACGACTACAGCATAAGATATAAGAGATATAAGAGACAACATCGAAACTTGAGCCGTAGCGAGAGAAGCCCAGCCAGCGCAAATATTACATAGCGAGAAACAATTTCTGATGGGCCTGTTTGTTCAGACAAAAAGTAGACAACATAAAGATTAAGCGGAGAATACGGGGCTTGATCGCGAAGCAAACTCAACGTGTGCGACGGTAGATCAACCCAGAGAAGACGTTCAGATAGCCCTCCTTAGTGAGCATAGTGAAGTCAACAACAACACGACCCGACCCCCCCTGCGACTGGGTTAGCTGAGGAGCAAGATTCTGATCCGTTTCAGCTTGTTCATTAGAAAGACCCGGCGGCGGCGTGGACGGCGCATTCTGACCAACAGATCCCTCAGCGCCTACAGCGAGGTCAGCAAGGTGCTGGAGAGAACGCTGCTCATTGGGGCCCATCACAGGCTGCTGGGACTTGGCGAGACCGCCAATCTCAGCTTCCTGTAGCTGGCTCTCCTGGGACTTGATACGGCGCCACTCAAGGAATATGCGGATCTTGGCATCCCAGTCCGGGGTGCCGAAGATATTGTCGAATTCGGACCCCTCTGCTGCGCGCTTGGAGCGGCGTTCGAGGATCTCTTCGACTTTTTCGAGGGTGGCCCAGCATTCGTTTGCGTGCTCTGGGAGAACGGTCGCCTCGAGAAGAGTCATTGAGGCGAGAGCTAGACTGTGCAGATCAAAGGGTGATGGGAGGCGGGATTGCATGGTTGACTTGTGCATCTCGTTGATTACCTCCTGCGCGCAGAAGATGATCTCGTACGGACTGTATACGAAAACGTGGCGCTTGATGAGCAGACGGACGGTCCAGTAGAGTTGTGCTTGGAGGCTCTCGTAAAGTGGGCGAGTGGTAGAGTTCTCGGGTAGCTCGTGGATCTGGAATATGTCCTCCATCTCCGCTAGACGTTCCAGGGACGAAACTAGGTTCGCGCCAATGATGCGACCCAGGCCGGAATTAGTCTGGCAGACGTCGTGGTCGACATTAGCCAGAGTGACCATCTCCGAGAGGAATGTCGAGTAAGCTGGAGGGAAAAGAGTCAGTGAAATTTTACACAATCATGAAGCAAGGAAGATCAACATACACGCAATTCCGGTTGTGATTTGACCAACAACCCTTTCATCTTCACGGCCGCCAATCTCATGACCACCCAGAACGGTGATATCTGCCACACTGATAGCGTACCACCGGGCCAAGATGACCAAAGACACCCAGTTGCGCCGGGTGAGATTGGCATCCGAGTCGACATCAGGATCCACAGATCGCTTATTCTTCAGCTGGCCTTGGCTCTTGGCTAAATCATATCCGAGCTTGTTGGCTGCTTGGACGAGACTGCCCTTGGGGACACCATCTTTCAGAACGAAATTATCCGGCCCACGAGTGTCACAGTCGATAATCATCAGCAAAAGAGACTGAAGCCAGATAAGGTTGACAGGGGTCGCGTGGACAATCAATGGCTGGCGGGTGTGGAACATGAGGAGATCCTGGGCGTTATCAAAACCATTGATCTTCTCGAAATTTCCCGCCACGCGAGACATGTCAGTTCGAGTAACGCTGTACAAGGCATGACAGAAAATTTCCTGTGCCTCGCGATTGCATTGGTGCAAAAGCTCCAATGTTCGCTCCTTGGTGTGAGGAAGAATCGGCAGAAGGGTGTGGATCTTCTGATAATAGCTGTAATCCGCTGTCAGGTGGGGTTCTCATAATTACGCGTTATACATTGCACTTACGCGTCAAGAGCTCCTTCATCCAGAGTCACTGGTGTCATGTCATCATCACCTTCATGCTTTGGCAAATCCGTCATCTCAAGGCCGCTCGGGAGATCATTCTCATCGCCCGTCGGGTTCCAGAATAGATTACCAGGTTTCGGTGCACTACCGCTTGCGACGGCTGGGTTGTACGGGTCTGCCGCTGTCTCAGACGCATCGAAGGCATTCTGCGATACGCGGGCGTTGAAAGAAGGTTGCGCAAACGAGGAACTAGGGAGACCTTCGAAGACCGAGTAAGTCCTCTTGCGATTGCCCGAGGTCGATTCCACCGGCGATGCGAAATCCTGGTAACCTCTCGGTAGTCCCGACACCTCGTTCATGGACTGGTATGGCACATCAGGCTGCACTATCCCCGGTTGCATCTGGTTCTCTAGGGTATGGAGTCGCTCGGCGAGTTCTTTGATATAACTGTGTCTCTGTTAGCGCTGGCGATTCTTGCAGCGACGAACTTGTTTTCCCTACCCTTTACTGGGGCCACGCTTCATCGGGACGCGACTGAACTGGCATACAACGCCGAGGCGTCTGCAGTTGGAGCATGTTTCAAGACCGGTTTCCGAACTCGCATCGCATCGTACCTGTAAAAGAAAACGCGTCTTAGCTTCGGGGTTCACAATCGCGTTCGAGCGGAGTTGTTATCATACTTTCTTTCGCCGACACTCGTCGCAAGCCCTTGAGATCTTCGATCGTTTGCGCGCACTTTGTTCACCGTAGCTCAAGTCGTGATTAGGGTCGACGCCCACCTGTTGACTCGGAGGGAACTGGAGCATGTGTTGGTGCTGGTGTTGATCCTCCGAAGAGGTTCGACCCATGTCGGCAGCATTGGAGGAACCCAACACCATAGACTGGCCATGATGAACACCGTTACCTGTTTCGCCAAGACCTGGACCAGACGCATCGCGCGAAAGTTCCGCGGACAGCAACTCGTCGGTGGTCATTTGGCGGTTGCTATAATACGAGGGCACACCCTGGGCCATCTGCGCACCGTTAGGAGACGGGTAAGAGGGTGCCGGAGGCATATCAGACTGCTCGCGAGAGTTCATTGTGTGAGATAAGACCGAAAACCTCGCGGAAAATGATGGGTTGTGGGCGAAGCGGGCCTCCGGGGGATGAAGGGAAGATAGTGTAGGACGCGAAGTGCAAGAATTGAAGTTTTAACTAAAATTTCGCGGGGGGAGATTTTCAAGGGGGCTAGCGCCGAGAGCGCCGCATTAAGCAACAACATTTGTACGGAAGATTTATTGGAATTAGATATCATTTTGAAGCTATATACAGTTGTTTACTTCCCCGAGTCTTTTTTTGGATGATCGCACGGAGGACGGCCTTTCGTTTCTGCGTGTCGAACGGATTAATACTATTTCCCCTTCGGCTTCGGATGAACTACCACGTACACTTACCCTTTCAATATTCCAGTTAGGTACCTTGATATATATGGTCCTCATGCCATATTCTAGCATGTTAGCTCGATTTGGACTGATAAGATTGCTCCATGCCAATGCTATACAGATATTATCGATGCAGAGTTCTATCCTATCGATGTTAGCATGTACCTACACCCCTGCCAGAGCCGCCACTTTATGAGGGCGCTCAACGCCCTAACAACTGCCTCGGTGAGTATCGATCACGCTTTTACGCCAGGAAATGATATTGGTATTCTGTACATGCTTTATATGGCTGACATTATTGTCACCTTTTTCAGAGATCACATGACCTAGAGTCTCAGATGATATTCTCCCATAGTACATTACGTAGTACTGGCTAAACTTATCGTTTTGAAAACCCAGTGCTATTACTAGTGGTCTTTGATTAATCTACCATTCACCCTTTCAGTGCGAACACTATTGTCCCTACGTTCTTATGTCTACATCACTGTATACTCAGGGGCTTTCGATGCCAACTCAACCTATGATAATGCTACCGAAGTTAGCATTAGTATTGGCTGTGCAAGCACCCAAGGATCAAAAATTCTGTCGGAAACCAGTCGGAGGAAGTAATGATTGATTTAGCCGACATCCTATTCCAGCCTAATTCCAACAGTGTTGTGTTCACATCCACTAAATCCCGGCCTTATCTTCGCTAAATGAAGGGCCCCATCTTAACCCTTTCGTTCACATGTTCTCCATAGTGTCTCGTACTTGGTCAGTATTATTCCCTAGGTCAGATTGCGTTTTGCCTTCGAAGCATATATTAATCACAAGTAGGGTCAACTAAGCACCATCTTTTGCATATATAAACCAAAAATTGTTGGAAATTATTTAGAGAGGTGGCTGCAGATCATAATATAAATTCAACTCAAACCCAAATCCTTTTGATGCTTATAACAATATGGCTTCCTCTTGATCCGTACATTTTGTATACTCACATATATGTATAACTCACAAGTCTACATATTCAAATGGATCAACCTTGGAGACAACTTAAAGAATATCAAAATGGGAAGACCATACTCCATAATTTAACCTAAGATATTGTACTCCGTAGTCCTCCATACGTAAGGAATGAAATCCTCCAGAACCCACAACGAGGTAGATGCAGATCAGGGCCCGAACTCTCTCTGCAGGCCGCCCGAAGCAGGAACACTGACGCCATCAGGTCCACTTTCTATGGCATGCATTTGGTATTGTACTTGTATGTATCGGTAACATGTCTAGTAACTTTTGACACCTACGTGGACTTCTTCCACTGGATGCTCTTCTCTTTGGTTTTTTTATCCCTCTCTATCATTTTCCATTTGCAGTTGATGTCTGCGCCAAGGTCCTGTCATTAGTCACTTTGCTGGGAATACTCACCTATGGACCACTTGGGGGAAAGCTTGCAGGGATTATGGAATGTTCCTTGCCAATGTACCTGGCTCAAGCGCTGACACCCCTGAAACATCATTTCTCATAATAGATTCAGCCCCAGCAAGCCGTAACACAACAGAGAAACAATACATACATACATACTCCTACAGATGTATTTATACGGAGAATGAGTTTTCAAGGCCGGGATGTGCGGCCCCAGATTTTAGATCCATATTTTTCTAGTGGGGATGAGTTCGTTGAGGCTTGACTTGGCCAAATTTTTGAAAGGGAATTTTCAGTGGCCACTAGTTTGCCACTCTATACACGGTTGGGGCTGCCACTTTGGGCATAAAAAAAAGTCAAAGTTTAAAGTGAAAAAAAAGGGGAAGAAAAGATAAAACTAGGAGAGAAAAAGAAGCGAAAAAAAAGCAAAACTAAATCCAAATTCCCACGATGTGCGTTGGAAAACCCTAAGCAGTGATGGTTCCTGTGGAGTCCAAGGGACTTGGAAGAATTCCAAGCCCTGGAGGGTCTATTTCTTTAGTCCAAGAAGCTTGGAAGCATAGGATATTTAGTAATAGCACAAGATATTTACTGCTTTTGGCCAATTGCTGGAATATTTAGTAATAGGACAGTTATTTGCTACCTTCTTATATGTTGCAAAATATTACTCCAACCAGTAAATAAAAGCAGTAAAAGCAGTAAAAGCCCAGTAAAAGTACAATACAAGTTCCGATGGCAACACGGCCACCCACAAAGACCAGTGGCGCAACGAAAATCCTCGTTCCATACGTTATTAACTACCGGCTGGCTGCCCTCCTTCCTCTTCTCTTTTCTTTTCTTCATTGCGTGTCCAACGTCTTTTTTATCGAACGCTTTTTATCTTGGCCGCCACTACCGGTACTTGGTGTCCTGTCTAACGGCCGGCGCCAAACGGTGCGTAGGCTTGGTCCCCCTCTCCCCTCTCTCTCTCTCTCTTACTCTCCGATCCCTGACCACCCCCTCTACCTCGCGCCTAAGATACCCTTTGGATTTTCGATTCTTTATGCTTTCTGTTCCAATCGAAGACAGTCCAGTGGCTTTAAACAGCATTATACACTGCTAGTCCGGCGTTCTGTGAACTCCTCCGCGCATTGGGACCTTCGACTATACGATTATACCCTTTTGTTCATTTTTGTTCTACTCGGCCCGACCTCTCGAAGGAACCGCTGCCAATCGCCTTGACGGCTTGATATCTTGGTCTCTTCAACCGTTTTCTCTTATTTCAATACTTCGATTATCTCTGATATACCTCGCGGATCATCGCATGTGTACCTCCCAGTAACACCGCAGCGATGCTCATCGACGGTGAAAAGTATGCTTGTGAGGCTTGCGTCCGGGGTCACCGAGTCAGCAGCTGTCACCACAGTGGTATGCCAATCTTCCGCTCTTTCAACAATGAATGACGATGCTAACTACTCTTAGACCGCCAATTGACCCACATCAACAAAAAAGGCCGCCCAGTCTCTCAATGTACTCACTGCCGCGGCCTACGCAAGTCTCGGACAACCCACACCCAGTGTGATTGTGGCGAAAAAAAGAAGAAGGAAGACTGCCATACCGGCGTTCCTCACGGTCGCTGTGGTTGCTGTCATGGCCAGCGCTGCATCTGTGCACTCAAAAAGGAACACCTAGACACTGTGCCTGAAACCGGTCTCCCCTTCTCTCCGGCTCCGCCTACGATTGAGACCCCACGGAAACCCCCTCTTACGTCTACCAAATCTGAATCGACGCTCACGATTTTCCGCGACGGTCATCATAAACCCGCCCACAAGCATAATGACATGGCCCACAAATGTGGATTGCCTTATACGATCCCGCGATCGCATACCATCCACCACCCAACCGACTTGCCCCGTCGGTCGGTGGATCATTTGCCGCTAGGCCAGTCGTCCTTTATCAAAGAACCTCTTACCCTGTCCGAATTTCCTACCTCACAACCCACTTCGCAAAATGGTTCTCCCAACAGCGCGCACACTTCCGGCGCCGAAGAGGATTCGAATCCTGCGCTCGATAACTCGTACCTCGACAACTTCGTTACGCCAGTACCTCCTGCTCCATCATTAGACCGACCCCATGATACGCTATCAAACCCGATATCTACCTCTGCAACTATGGAGAAATTCCCTCTGGAACAGATTGTCACCAGTGTTCCTCCACTTGACGTCTCTTTCGCCTCCTTCCCGACGACGAGCACCAATTCTCCGATCACCTGCATGGCATTCCAAGAACCTTACCAAGAATGTTATTTCACTTCTCCAGACTCCGACATGCCCCTGGGGTCTGCTGGCCTCGGTGCTCCCTCGGTCGATTGGTCGAGTTTCCCCTTATACTCCGACGTGGCTGCCACAACCAGCACGCAAGCTCCTTCATATGCCAGTTTTGATTACACTGGATATCCCTCGGGTCTTCCACCGCCGTCATCATCCGGAGATATTTCCGAGGCTGATGAGTTTGGACCGCTTCCAGGTTTGGGTCATGCTAGCAATGACATGCACGACCTGCACAGCGTGAGCGAGGCGTCTGACATGGACCATCTCCGCGTCAGCTCTGCGTCTTCATTGGTCGGTCTACCTCAGACGCGTCTCCTGTCATCCAATGAACTGGACTCGATCAACATCGATGACTTTCTTAAGTCGACTAATGAGTCCACCGCTGCGCTCGAGCACCAGCTGCAAGCCAGCATGAGCGTGGAGCCAAAATCGGTCCCAACGCATGATGTCTACGCCATGTCGCAGATGCCGGTGTACAAGCCAATGACGTCGGCCCCGATTGCCAGCGCTCCCTCGCCGCCGCCGGACTCCGTTCCTATCTGGCCTGGCGGTCTGTTCGATGCTGGTTCCACCTCGCCCATGGACGACAACTTCTTCCAACAATCCTGGGCCCAGTGAGAAACCGTGGGGCTCCTTGTTTATCCTTGCTTATCTTCTCCTCCTATACTTCTTTGTCCTGGGGCTTGCTCTCTTGCGGCAATCTACCACCACCTCCACCCGTCTTCATGACCATGATGAGAGATGATGATAAATGCCTGATTTGTCTTGTTCCATTAGCCAGTCTAGATTCCTTCCTTGATAGCCATTCAATCTAGAGAGGTTTGCGATTTGGACACTTGCAACGTGTCTGTACATTCTTTTGCTTTTTGTTTCCGTACATGCGCTTTTTTATTCTTTCTTTGCTTGCATTCTCGCCGATGTATAGAATTTTTTTCTTTTCATTTGTTCTCTTTTTACATGTACAAGGACTCTGGTGGTCCTTCTCTATACGCTCGTCTCCGGACGATAACCAGCTGCATGCACAGTGCGGATCGCCACAGACCCCGAGATTTACCTTTGGATGCCCATCACCATGCACCCGATATTTTATTATATAGGGCAACACAGAACGCCAGCTAATACCCCAGCCGATGATATCACTAATCACCAATTACCTATCAACTAGGTACAGCAGTCTAATACCAAATAAACTACTTGTATTACATCAAGAACACTAGTAACAATCATCCGGGGTCGATCGAATGCAAAGAGGATCCCGGCTGCTCACCGGGATGTAGCGGTGAGCAAGTCCGAGCTATACACAGTGCACTCAGTTGCCTCATCGGCAGATCAAATCGTGGATTGGTCAGGTTATACGGAGTAGTGTATTCGGCCCATTGCCCTCTTGGCCCCCAAGCTTTCTTGCCCTGTACCCAATGATCCAGTCGTAGCGCGATCCCTTACTCCGAGACACTACACGATCTTTCCCTCGCCATTCTGAAACAGTGAGACAATACCTACAAATATGTATAGCTACCACCAATAAGAAATTTATAATCCCGAACAAAAAAAGAGAAATTACATATACATCGGATTTCAGGCCGCGCGAGATGGCTTTCCCTTTCCGTTGTAGTGCTCACCAAGCAGCGTGGTAAGTATGAGATCACCTTGCTCGGCATCGAATTGATTAGTTGATTGATAAAAAGCCTCAGACAATCTTCTAGATTTTCAAACAAGTGCCTACTGAAACGCAGCTAAAGCTTTACAAAGCCCTTGGGTAGCTCCTTATGCTCGAACCACGCCTCAGCAGTCTCCGCAAACAGCCTCGGAGCCTGGCGGTTCCACGGATGTCGCATACTCAAGTGCGTATAAGCGACAGTCTCTCCATTCCTCTCTCTCCCGATCTCCATCAACTTCACGGCATCATGCAAGCTATCCTTAGTAGGGACTAGTCCGCCTTTGCCTGCTGCAACAATGAGGGTGCGCGCAGGCCATGGCGACGGCCACTCTGTGGGTGTCACCGGTGATACGATCTGCCGACACAAGTCAAGTGTGCAGACACTAGTATCAATACGTGGGATATCGGCACCATCCATTGCCCAGCTGATCAGAGGGCGGGCAAGACAGTTCTCCACACGCGGCATCGCCCATGCTGCGTATGGAATATACGGTGTGATTGATGTCCGAGGAAACATTCCAAAGCCCGAGATGAAGATGGAGTTGACCACGTCCGGGTCTGTGGAGGCTAGACGCATGGCGACCTGAGCACCTAGACTGTGGCCGACTATGTGGGCTGAACCGTTGATGGCGTGCATGCGGATTAGCTGGGCTATCATGCAGGAGGCGAGCTCCACGGAAAACGGTGTGATCGATTGCGATTTGCCATGGCCTGGAAGGTCTGGGACTAGGAGGTGGTAAGATGTGGGGAGGTGGGGGATCACCAGATCCCAGTAGAGACCAGATACCAAGGCGCCATGGATTAGTACGACTGTGGTGTTGCCGGCGTTGTGCGCAGTATGGTATAGCTCGTCGAGAGGCATGGTGAAGTGATACGAGTACCCACGGGTAGCTTCTATGTTGTATGGGAAATCCCACTTGGCGCCGATCACGGTGTTATCCACCCAGGTGGTTCCCACCCTAAGCCTCATGAAGCGGCCGATCGGGCCACCCTAAAATAGAATCGAACAGGTCCACGCTCTATATCAGCTACTTCGTGTGTACCTCACCTACATACATGTACATGTGTACCCTACGCGTCTAGCTACGTCGGTATCCAAAGCGATGTACATCCATGCATAATGTAACTCGTACATACCGTGCAACAGGGAATCCCCTGTAGCAGCGCCAGCCTATAGCTAAGCATTAGCCAAGACAACGCACGTCAAGGCTTGCAGCACGAGGTAGATGCGGTATTTGTCCGGGAATGTTATGTGCGGTGTGACTACTTTATGCTGCATCTTACTGTACGATTAGGTCTTGCGTGTGCGATCTGAATGTGTGGGTCGTGGTCCTACCTGTTACTATACCGGTGCCGGTTACCGAAAACATAGCGAGAGCCGTAAGGTGCATGGATGGATTTGTTTATGCGCCTTGCGTATGTATGGATGATCATGGATCTGGAAGGATAGAGGTAGATTTATTCTGAGGTCACAGGTTCTAATGAATCAGCCGGTGTATGTTTATGTTCGTTGTATTCCTTGTTTCTGTCATAGAATGCTCACCGCTTCTTTGCATCTCTCGTGTCACAGTACATGTCAGATTGAGGCATAATATGCTGTCTTGTTCAATCTAGTGATAATAATCTCCTTGGAATCTGAGTACTACCTTATTGCTAGACCATACAAAGATTCGAGTTTGGGCTTGGCTCGCCATTTTGAACTAACCTCGGAAGCATCTACCAAGCGAAAGAATTACCGACCCTGCATATTTTCTAATTAATTGAATATATCTGCATCGTTTTATGCTGCACATCAAGCTTCGGCATCAAGCTCCTAAGGGCATCAGTCTGTTACCTCGTTGTCTTCGATTCCCTCCGAGTCCTTGTAGGGTTGGGTGGGTTTGCAGAAGGACAATCTACCGTCATATATATATCTTGTCTAGCAGCCAAGCTCCTTGCGAGAGTGTTAAAGAATAGCCTCGTTTTATCAATAGAGTACAGTCAGGAATCATGTTTTCCTATGGTGCTGTTAGTTCGTGGTTGCTATTATTACTACATACATACACACCGGATTTTAGGCCGCGAGACATGGCTTTCCCTTTCCGCTTTAGTGCTCACCTCTTGCTGCTTTTTGCTCACTGAGTAAAACTGAGCACGCACCTACGTCTTACTTAGGCGATGAAACCGGTCCCTGAGTAACTTAGTTAACTATCACTTGACCGTTATATAAGCCGGCTGACTCGCTCACTGAGCGTGACCTGAGCGCTCTGATTTGCTCACCAAGCAGCCTCATCTTAATCGCTACGCAAGACCGGACTATTTATAAGCTTAGGGACTTGCTCACTAAACATCACCTACTCGCCGTAATATAGAGTGATGCTATAGCTATTGCAGTGTTAACATCTCGCACGCCCTTATGCTCTCGTGGCCTCTAGCGATAGGATAGACACCTCTTCGTGGTGCTAGAGATTAATACTTACTCGTGCAATCGAAGAAGGATACTAAGATCTGTTCGAGCCTATCCTATTCTATCCCTACTATCCTATAATAGTCATTCTATAGACTTATACCGGCTCCATTCAATCTAGGTATAATTGTTGTGATTGATGCCTTAGTGCCTCAGGCATCAGACCTTGTAACTAGCTAGATAGTTGTTTGGAGCTCGCTCCTTTCTCTCCAATTCAACTCTCTCCCTTCTGCTCTTAGTGCCTACTACCTGTAGTCCCTATAGTGGGATCCCAAACCCCATTTGTATATAAAGATTTTGCATACTTGAAGCTTGTGCGGATCTATAATGATCCACACTAACCCGTTTTGCACTCCACGGGTACTTCGGTCCCCGTGTTATATAGTACTTAGTTGTTGGCATATCCAACTTATACAAAAGCTATACGATCTAGTTCGAATCACATTAGCAATTCTATACTATTAAGTGAATTTCCTCGCTCCGGCTTAAATCATACTATTACGCCACATTATAGGCTGGGTTGCTTTTATTTCTTTAGTTCTTCACTATAATATAAAGATATAGAAAACTCACTTTCGTTCTTTGATGTCCCGTCGATCTCTACCGTTGCTTAGATTGTTTAAAGAAGTGATTATTATATATAAGCTTAGTGTTACTTTTAGCCACCTATAATTTAGGATCAAGTAGCTAAACTTATAAATCCGTAAGCGGGTTTAACTAGACGCACTTACGCTGTTGACTTATAGAGTGGCGTTGTTACGCGGTTAATATTATTTATATCATGACCACGCTTTTCCTAAATGTTTGACCATGAATTAAACAACTTCAATCGTCTTATGGAATCGTATACCGCGGATCTGGGGCAAGTTTTGACCGTCGACAAAAGGTGACCAGAAGATCGTTTTAGTGTCAGGATCCTATAACGATAGCCAATAGGATGATGTTACAGTACGTAGCTACCGGATAATGCTTGGCACCAGAAACCTTTCCACTGACTACACTACCCTAGCTAGTCTTCCACTAATTGAAGTCAAAAGAGATGAACACTTTCATGCCATTGTTGGCGGCAGATTGATACGCAAACCCCAGCTGCGTGTCCGTGTAAGAATCAGTGCCGATGTTCAAGGCAAAAGCGCTGACGCAAGATTTTAATGAATGCAATACGTATATCAGAAATCAGATAAGCTCATTTGAATGCTGTATGTGAGCTTTGATCAAGCTTTTCAATTACAAGCGGCTGGTAGTACGCCACTTCCCTCCCACAACTTCCACCGCCTATTGGCCAGCGAATCGATTCCAGCCAGTCCTTTCCTCCAGGCCTTTCCTTCGTCCAATTGGAGAATCATGTTCATGCGAGTGTAGTTCCGAACGTGTTGATCCTCAGCCTCAGTCTTCGACTCGGCCCTGCTATCCTGTCCCCAAACCATCCAAGTTGAAGGCCCCTTTGCCTCCCAGGGCTCGAGTCCGTTTGCAAACTTGATCCAAGCCTCTGAAAACTCTCGTGCCAGCTGCTTTTCGTCTGCATTCATTTCTCCGTCCAAATTCCCGAACAGGTAAAGCAACTCATATGCATGATATGCTGTCCCTTCCAGCGTGTTGGAAAGACGAGAACGCTGGTCGAAATGATACAAGAATGGGGCTCTTCCGCCAGGTGCTTCATACTTGGCACATTCATTTGCCAGGGCGTAATTAGGGATCTTGAAGATGAAATCGCCACACATGTGCTCCACCCGCTCGAGAAGCTCTGATTGTGACAGGTCGGGGGTAATATCATACGCCTCAATGATCTGATCAGTCAAAGACTTGTCCTCGATATGAGCTTGAATGACGCGCCGGATTGAGTGGTAATCATCTTCAAGCAAGTTCACATGGAAAATGATGCCTTCGTGATAGACATCACCAAACATGTATCCCTTCAACCAGGATGGAGGTGCAGTGACACCCCGCGGATCTGCATCAGGGAGGTAGAACCAGTCATCAAGACATGGATTTCCCGTTCCTGCGGGGACGCCCTGAATTTCGGGCGTTGCATCTGCAAGGTCCTGCTGAGGTATAAAACGCAATTGATCCAGTACATCGGGAGCTGCAGGATCGATCTTAAAATGACGACATACAGCGGAGAAGAAAATATCATGTTCCTGCATAGTCCACGGCGGGATCGCTGCCGATAACCCAGACATGCAGACAGCACGATGAAATATGGCAGGCTGCGCTGCTTGGAGCTGATTACTGATAGAAATTCCCCCAGCAGACTCGCCCACTGCAGTGACATTTTCAGCGTCACCTCCAAGGTACCCGATGTAGTTTTGCACCCAGTCAAAGGCGACCTTTTGATCAGTGAAGCCAAAGTTACCACTGCCTGCATAGCCGTCCTGTTTCAGCTCTCGTGCAACAGCTCCGCCAGAAAGAAATCCACCGATACCGATTCGGTAATTGAAGTTGACACATATGGTAGGAAGACCGATCTCGATGCTTCGCGACACTAAATTTACTGCGTCGAAGATTGGTAGATTTGCACCGCCGTATAGCAAAGATCCGCCATGTATGTAGACAAAGACGGGAAGAAGCTCGCTGGTTGAGTCGAAGGCGCGCGGAATGACAATATTCATGACCAAGCCGAACAGCTCGTCTACAGGCGGAGGCCAAGACATGTGCGCCGCAGGAGGGACAGGAACAAGATCACTTGAGTTGTCACCATCGATTAAGCCTGGCATCGGGCAGTCAGGTCTGTAAGACGTGAGCTATACAAGTACACAATCAATTGACAGAGGGGAGTATAGTACCCTAACTTTGACCCATCGTGATGGCTCCCATTCCACGAAGTCTTCAAAGTCGATCGTGTCCAGCGCTTTGGCAGATTTGCATAAGGAATGCCGCAGAACTGTTGGACGCCATTGGCGTACTGCAAACCGTCCAGGCTCCCTAGCCCAGGAATGGTGGTCCTGCATTTGGAGATAGGGGTTTGGAAAGACATTGGGAGATAAGGTAACAAGTAACAAGCTTACCAGGACAACCTTGGAATGTCCACCCGGAAGGTCTACAGTTAAGTATAAATTTTGAGTATAGTTGTAAAACCGTCTGCTTATCTTCCCAACTTGGCAGTCGGACCCGACCTCGGGATATCTGCCGGTTATCAGCACGAGCACGGCCTTTCAACGGTTCCACTTCCCCCGCATTTTCTATATCGCCTGCCCATTTCACCCGCCCAACGTACTCAAATGACTTATCCCTGCATTCGGTATGTCGACCCGCAGCTATCACGGGTGCTGGACCTGCAAGCGCCGCCGGCGCCGCTGCGATAATGCTCGCCCAACATGCCGGAACTGTGCACAGCGTGGAGTGGACTGTGAGGGCTACGAGGTACGACTGCGCTGGGGCAGCGGCGTTGCCTCGCGTGGTCGATTTACCGGCGCCGATAAGCCCTTGGAAGAGAATGTACCGCCGAGGCCAAAGGGAAGACAGAGAGATTTGAGCAGAGAGAGGAAGAGGCTCGAGGCTCAAGCTCAGATCCAGAGGGATCATGGTCTGTCAAAGATACCCCTAGCCATTTGTGACTGATTTAACGAGTTGCCAGCAGGGTGTCATCATATGTTGACTCAATTGAAGGATGATGTTGCTCCCAAGACAGACCGATCGGAGCAAGATGAGATTCTTTTCAATGAATGTAAGTTTGAGCCAAAACTACGTGATCTCACGGTGTACTGAAATGCAAATCTACAAGTTTTGAACAATGGAATCAACAGTTTACTTTCGATCGCAGCACCAGAGAGCATGCTACAGCCTAGGCTTCCTGAACTGTGTCAAGAGTCCAATGCCTTGTATAATATTTGTCTGACTTTCCAACTCTCTCTATCTACCATTCGCACACCTCAGCTCTTCGAATACTTTGATACTTCGCTGCGTGAATTTCGATACGAACTAGCTCGCTCCACAACGCTATCCGATGGGACACTGGCCGCGGGGCTTCTACTGTGTAGCATTGGTGTGAGTGACCTAAAGTCTTCCTGTTTTCAAACACCGACTTAGCTTAAGGGGCTAGCTAACCTATCTTGTCTACTCGCAGTTGACGCAAGGACTGCCGTGGACAATGCATATAGAAGGCATGTATAACATCTTGCAAACCCGCAGCCCAGAGCCTTCTGCTGGCATAGGAGCACCGACTCCATTTCGCGCGCACCTCCTCGAGGTCATGGGAGTCATGGACATACCATGTCTCGCTATAGGGCGCCAGACGTCTCCTATTGGTATTTGGCGCCGCTTCTGCCAGTCGGCAGGACCGAGGCACGGCATCGAGCCAGTAACTGGTTTACCGCGCTCTCTATTGGACCTACTAGCCGGGATTGATATAGATACAACAGAGCAGAGTTTCTGGGACTGGACCGGGGAAGCGGGGAACTTTTTGCAGTGCTACCTATGGGAAGCATATCGGCTAGCGGGGATTCTGACCATCCACCAAAGAAAAAGATCGTCGGGTAGCCCTCAGAGCCTTTCAACGTGGAGGCAGCCAAGCTCGTGTCCGGCAGATTCGAGTATGCTCGTAGCTCGCGTTCTGGCCAATGTGGATGCTCTTCGCTTGGTTTGCTTGGAGCGCCCGGACGAGGACACTTTCTTGAAGAACTCCATTCTTTTCCCGATCGTTGTTGCCGGACTGGAAGCTAATGTCATGCGTCAGAATCAGGAGTGGCAGGCAACCATTCGCAAATGCTCTCTGGGGTCACGTCAAGATAATATGCTTCTTGACTTTTTGCAAGAAGTATGGCACTCTGACGATTCTACACTTGATATAAACGAACTGGCCCGGTTGAAATGGGGTTGTTGTGAATACCGCGACAAAGTAACTGACATTTAATCCTTGCTGTTCTATTTATATGTTATGTTTGACCCTTTCAATCGGTGGGAAGGCGGCGTTCGGAATTTGTTGTATCATTTCGTTCCAGGTTGCAAGACTCTAAGCTTCACTGTGTACTATCTGTCTCAAGTACCATCACCCAATACTTGAGTTTTCCATCCTCTTCTGCATGCGCCGGGGTGTCCGTGAGGTCCACTTCCTCTATTGTTTTGAAACCGAACCCCTCATAGAAGGCGATATTCTCCTGCCGGGTGCACTCAAGGAAAATCGGGTTTCCCGCAACTTGCTCAAGAATAGCCGTCATCACGCTACCTCCCAGTCCGCGTGACTGCAGTGATGGATGTACAGCAATCACTTCCAGATACCATAGCGTGGGGTACCGTGCCTGGAGGAGCTTTTTTCCGGACATGTGTCTCGACATAAGCTTCTCCACTCGCTATTCAGAAGAATGAATCAGCACCAGTATTTCTTCAACAGAGAAACTCGGGGTTCTTACTTCATCTTTGCACGATGTGTCCTTGACCGGGTTGAATAGCGCCAAAAGCCAGAGTTTCCAAGAAAACCACATCGAGGAGAGTGACCACGGAAGATGGCCCTTTGGAGGATATAAGAACACCACAGCACCAGCCTCTCTCTGGTTGGCTGCAATATTCGGATCCTCGGAGGCGGACACCTGAGCTGTCTTTTTGGGTGCAACAGCACCGTCTGAGGGCTCAAGCGCCTTGTTCTTGCGGGTATATTCTTGGACTAGCTGGCCAACGCTGGCTGACTGAAGAGCAATGCCTTTCGATATCACATTCTGCACCCTCCTATATTGCCATCTGTGCGCCAATGCGTCTTGATACGCCCATGGTGTCATGTTCGGTCGAAGCCATTGTATCAGGGGATCAGATGAGAAGGCCGCGTTGACTGTTCGTGCGACGGCTGATATCGATCGATCTTTGTTGTTTGCGTGTCAGCCAAAAGAAATTTATTGCTTGACAATGGATTCTCAGTGAAGGGGTCACAGACCATTCTGAACGGGGAAGAGATTCACAGTCATCTTTTGTTTCGACATGGCCTGAGAGAAAAGCTGCTTCGGTGCTCAAGAAGAGGAGATGATAGGCAGGAGATAGTACGGAGTGCCATAGTTTCTATATTATAGGGCACAGGCAGAGATTAATGTAAATCTGCCCCTGCTGAGAGAGGCTCCACCTGAAATTGGCCCAAGTAAAACTTGAAAGCTGCTATCTTTCTCGCATCGGCATCCTCCACTTGGTTACTAGCCGAAATCTAGGGGCCCAAGAGCGAAGGAGCGTCTACCTTCCATGTAAAACCAGGTCTCCGCCACCTCGGAATCGCTTCTAGATCACCAGATGCCACGATACTGCACGAATAGTAACTTCTTGCAGGTTACATATGTAAAGGGTTAGACGTAAGTGCCACTCTTATCTGGGGAGGATGTATACCGAATTAGGAAGGTGGACCCTCAAACTAAAATAAGTAAAATAAAGTGGCGCTGGACCGCCCACTTGGATCGACACTGAACTCTCTCCGCACTTTCGAAACCGAGATGTGCCATCTCCATCCTTGCTTGGTTGGCTACCTTATCAGGATTGCCAATGTGATATGTCCCTATCACGGTGGCGCAAAAGCGATATCAACGTCCGTCCTGTGGACCAATCTGAGCGGAGTCTGAAATCTGGGGAAGATATTCAAATATCGCTCCGTCTCGCCAGTGTATTGTATGTATCTTCTTGCAGTTGATTTCATTCTATTTTAGAACAATGGCTGCTCCTCGTGTCGATATTGACGGATTGTCCTCTGAAGGAGGGGCCTTGCTTCCTCCTGGGACATTCCATCTAATTCCAGGTACAGTGGTACAGTGGATGAGGTCACAGTGTGCGAATCCGTCACTCACCCGACTAAACAGAAGATGGATTGGATCTCCATGGCCAGCGGGCTGTCATGCTCGATCCAGTCCCTTCTAATGATCCCAATGAGCCCTTGGTCAGTTTCGTGGTGTACACCTCTTTTTCGATGATCATTTTAACCCAATTCTTGCGGGGCGTAGAACTGGAGCGTAACTCGGAAAGCCGTGAACTTCACTACCGTGTTGGGAATGACAATTGTTGTCTTCACTGCGTAAGCTATACCCCATATATATCCTTCCAGCCCGCCTTCACGATATTCATTAGCCCAGGCTCTCGATTCAAGCAATCTTCTGGCAACAAATGGTCCTTGATCTTCATGTCTCTTATACACAGCTAAACCAAGCCATGTCGGTCAATTTTGTCGGTTTAGCAACCGGCTGCGTATTGTTCATCCCATTGGCTAAGAAATACGGCCGGCGACCGGTGTACATTGTTTCCATTGCTATCATGTTCGCCACATCTTTTTGGACGTCCAGGCTCGAGAGTCTTGCGGAGCTCTACATTACAAATCTGCTTCAGGGCTTGGCTGGTGCTACCAATGAGGCTATCGTGGAGATCACAGTATGAGTCCTTCCCAGAATCTTGACGCACCGACCATTTACTCGAATCTTGCAGATTTCAGATTTATTCTTCGTGCACCGCCGAGGAAGTATGAACGGTCTGTATATGACTATGGTCATGATCGGGGTACGTCTTTGCCTCTGTTCATACAAAAGTCTGCTAACAACTCCCACAGAGTTTCTTGACACCCATGGCAGCAGGAGCGCAGGCAACAAGGCAAGGATGGCGGTGGTCGTACCAAACACTGGGGATCTTTAACGCGATCTTCTTCCTTGTGTTTCTGTTCCTCTATGAAGAGACAAAATATGTTCCGGTCTTGAACGGGCAACCCAGAGCCGGCCAAGACACTGAAGGGGACCTTTCCGCTCCTGCCGATCCAATCCAGAAGTCCGCCGTGCAGTCAGACACGAAAGCTGCTCTTCCAGTCGAGCCAAACAGCCTTAATCATGAATTAGATTTCAGCATTCCTATGAATACGTGGCGAAAGCGCCTCACCCTATGGACTCCCTCCCCCGAGCCCATGTGGCCTTATTTCTACCGCCCCTTCTACGTGTTGTTCAGCTTCCCGACTGTGTTCTTCACTGGAATTCAGTATGCTTCTGGTGTGGCGTGGCTGACTATCACTGCGAACGTTATGGCGCTGGTCTACCCATTGCCCCCATACGGTTTCACACCTGAGCAGATTGGGTACATGAGTCTTGGCCCGTTTATTGGCAACCTCATCGGCGCCTTTTACGGTGGATTACTCGGAGACCGTTCTATTCTTTACTTCTCTAGGAGAAATAAGGGTCTCTATGAGCCCGAAATGCGTTTGTATATTTTGCATCTCCCTGCGATCTTTATGGCTGGAAGTTTGATTATGTTCGGCATGACTCTTTCGCGGGTAAGATTATATGGGGTCCCAAGCTAAATTTCTTGAATCTCTGTTCCACATGTGACTTCTCGAGAATGCAAAGACTGATTTGTTATTCTTAGGGTATGCATTGGACTTACCCTAGCATTGCCGGAGCTTTCTTCGGATTTGGACTGGGCAGTATAGGCAATGCCACTTTGACACTGGTGATTGATAGTTACCGTGATGTAGGTCACTTTCATTCGATATCACTTTGTCGAAGATGTTGTCTAACTGTTCGCTTTACACAGATTACCGGTGACGCCTTCACGGGAATAGCATTCCTCCGTAACGCCATCAGTATTGGTATTCCATTTGCAATTTCGCCCTGGATTAAGCGCGATGGTCTCCAGAATATGTTCATTGCCTGCGGATTCATCAATTTGGGTATCTCGCTGCTCATCATTCCTATGGTGTTCTACGGCAAGAAGTCTCGCCGTGGCTTGGCGACACGCTACTATCGTCTCGTGGAACAGCAGGGTCACTCGCATGGTGGGTGATGCGATTGTGTGCTTACCACGGGAACGATGGAATGGATGTTGTGGGGAAGTACGGGGGCTTGGGATATGTCTTGATCAGTTCTGTAAAGCTTAGTACTCATAAAAATGGACGTGTTCTGTTGTTTTATTATGATGAGAAAATAAAGGAGTACTTCGTTAGCGGATTCATCAAAAAATCAGGAAGTTGCAAGCATACAGAATCCCCAGCTTGAGAAAAAAAAGAAAAGGGGTGTAGCCAGCCTTGGAACCAATACACTTGTCGTGTACCTAGAGCCCCTAGGAGAATAGTTTCTGCGTATTTATGGATCTGCAATGTAGGTCCAACTTCGGTACTCCGTAGAGGCGCGCTGATTTGGCCCTCGGATATACAACAGTTGCTAGTCTGAAGATTCGGCCGAAAGTGTTTCAATCCCATTGCAAAGGCTGATAAGGTGAGAGGGGGTCAACCTTCCTGTTTCGAAAAACCTACTGCGGGGAGCTCGCGAAACTGGAATTTGCTCCGTTTATGTTGTAGACACAGTGATTCGGAGCTCGATAAAAGCCGCTAGATCCCCGCAATAATCTCATGGCATAATCCGACTTCACAATCAACTTGCACTTGAAAACAATTCAACACTTCAATTGTCCAATTCCACCATGTCGCCCACTCCATCGCCCGGAAACGACGTCTTCCTTAATGGCCCGTCCATGCGGCAGCCTGCCTTGTCCTGGCTGTACAGACTGGAATGCGACATCGCCAGGGAGGAAATTAACATTGGTGCCCCCCACGACGCGGGGATTTTGCGCAGTGTCGCCAATATCCTGGGCGGAAGCATCAAGGGCCCCGGAATTGAAGCAACTGTCCTGTCTCTAGGAGGAGCTGACTGGGCCACGGTGATCAAGGGAACCCACGTATGATCAGGAGCAAAATATTTCACAGAAGCGAGACACAGATCGCTGACAAGATCTGCCCAGTCGATGAAGCTCGATGCGCGGTACACGGCACGCACCTCCGACGGCCACTATCTCTACATCCGCGCCCATGGCCTGTATCGTCCCGGCCCAGGAACCGAGTACGCGAAGCAAGTCGACCAAGACTGGACACAGCCCCCGAAGGCCGTAGTCACCCAAGACGATGTGGAATTTTTCTCGCATTTGCGCCTGGAGGCGGGACCTGGCCCATACAACTGGTTAAATGGGCTGGTATGCCTTGGCGTGATGGTCTGCGAAGATGAGAAGATATGGATTGATGCGTATCATCTCACGAACTTCCCGGGTATCAAGCCGGAAGATGTAGTTGCCAAGGCATGAGAAATCATTTAAGGAACGAGACGGACATGAGGATCCCGGCAGCTAAAGATTGTATAAACAGATCGTTACAAAGCTACTGAGTTCTCGAAAATCACCTTCAGTATGGTGTTTCGGCGTGTCCAGCTCGGTAGTGAAATACTTTAAGCATTATTTTGACATTACTAAGCATACCCTTGAGTATCACTGAGTAATCACCTGCGCTGTGAGCTACTCAGTGAGCAGGACCCTGAGCGCCCTCATAAAGCGGCGGCACCCCGATCGGGAAATTCGCATCCGCGGCCTAAAATCGGGTACATACTGCTACATACGTAGTACTCCGTACTCCGTACACCCTCTGGTCAGCCTGGCCCAGGTGATCACCTGGGCAGGCTCAATGCTTAAGTAATCCCAAGACCCAAAACTTTCAAGGAAGTAGACCTCACTAGGCAACATCAGAAATAGTCAACCTCATTCTCACCATGAACATTTACACGCGAGTTAAGTCAGGCCTAACGTCCTGGAAAAATGACACACCTCTCCCAACAGACCTGTCAACTGATCCAAAATTCCAGCGCTGGCACCAGTTCGACCTCAACTCACAGCAGTGGGAGCCAGTGAGCGCGAATGAAAATGCAGAGCCATCACGCACCGATGACTCCGATCTGGTGCTCTTGACGTGGAACATCGACGCACTAAACGAGCGAACTCAAGAACGAGTCACAGAGATTCTGACGTTCATCACCCAGCTGAATCCCAGCGTGGACATCATATTCCTGCAAGAAGTATCACAGCGGGGCTTACGACTAATTTTGAGCGACGAGCGTATTCGTAGATCCTGGTTCTCAAGCGAGCACGAGAACACCTCGTGCAGAAACTCATTCACGACGATGACTTTGGTCTCCAAGACACGCTTCGGTGAAACAAGCAGGTTTGCTCTAGGACGCGTGTGGAGGGTAGCCTACCCCAGTCACTTTGGTAGGGATGTACTCTTTTGTGATCTTTTCATTCCTTCACCCACGGATGCAGACGCTTCTACCACACGAGTACGGCTCGCAAATGTTCATCTGGATTCCCTACCTATCAAACCTTCTCACCGACCCCGGCAACTGTCCATTGTTTCCTCATTCCTGCGTAGTGCGGGCCGTGGGCTGGTTGCTGGCGACTTCAACCCGGTTCTGGACGAAGATGCCGCCCTCATAGAGACCAATGGTCTTACAGATTCCTGGGCAGCCCTTCATCCTGAAGAACCTGGGTATACATGGGGCGCGGATGGGAAGGAGCGATTTCCACCAAATCGGATGGATAAAGTCGCGTTGCTTGGTCTCAAAGCGCGTGAAATTAAAATACTCGAGGCTCAGCAACTGGGTGGGTTGGATGGACAACAGGACCCTGGAAGTGACGTCCCCGATTCCCAGCAGACTGACCCCGAAGTCATACTCTGGAGCGATCACCATGCTTTGCTTTGCTCGTTTGGGCTTGGAGACTGAATGACGATAGTTGCACTTTCATTATTGGAGGGAATTTGGCAGTTCATGTCACCTCGTTTTCCTCGTACCCCCTAGCTATGCCCTTACCGTCATCCCTCTATCTTCAGCCCAACACTGTTTAGAAAAGGATGGATAGGAACAGAATGACGAAGATACGAAAACTCGCTCGGAATCAATGAAGCAGGATTCATTCTCTATAAAACGCAAACAAGATATGCAGTAGCGAACGATGGAAATGTGCCTCTAGGGAAATGTATGCCACTATTCAAAATGCAGTGCATAAGTGTCTGAGAAGAATATCCAAAAATGAGAATCGAAAATAGCAAGCCCAATAGAGTCAGTAGTCTATGAGGTATCGAGGACGAAGCAATTCCAGATCCATATCCAAATTCAAATATCCAAAACATTGCGTCGTAGAGGCCACACATACATGGATGCCAATGACTCATCCCGTATTGACGAAACCACAACCAAAAATCATATATGGTGGCAGCCAATCGCTCGACGAGCAGGTAGCGGTGGATGGGCAGTTCACGTTTATACGGCTTTTTGTACATTTGTACATGTTCATCGGTACTTGTCCATGAACTCGGCGTGGAACTTGACGATGCGCTCAACCCAGTCGGTGCCAGGGGCAAGGAAGGTTGTGCGGAAGTGGAAAGTGTTATCCTTCTGGCCGAATCCGGAGCCGGGGACGACGCAGACACCGGTGGCGTCCAGCAGGGCCAAGCAGTAGAACTCATCAGCGGGGCGGCCCTCGGCGTTGGCGGCTTCAACGGCCTTTGCGGGGAGGTGGATAGTCGGGAAGAGGTACATGGCACCCTGTTGAGACGATCAGTAAATGCGTAACAAGTTGAACAAGTCTATAACTGGTACCTGGGGCTCCTGGAGCTCAACACCTTCCATGCGCTGGAAGGCGTTGAACAAGGAAAGGGCACGTTTGTGCAGACCTTCCGAGATACCATTGTATTCCTTCTGGTAGAGCTCGAAGCTGGGCTCGCCCTCGAGGGGAGGGTTGACCATGCACTCGAGAAGGCACTGTGCGACGACCGGCGGGCACAGGCCAATGCTGACGAGCTTGTAGATCTGCTCCTGGACAAGGGGATCGAAGCCAGCAAGCTCGAAGTAGCCACCACGGTGGCCGCACTCACCAACCATACCCTTCGAGATACTGTGCAACGAGACCAGCTCGACGTCGTCGTATTTGCCGGGCTGCTCCTGCTGGAGCTGGCGCAGGCGCTTCTTGAAGGAGACAAACTCGCCCTTGAAGACATTGGTTTGGTACACCTCATCAGCGATGACCACCAAGCTTTCCTCGGCGGCGACATCAAGGACCTGTTTGATGTCGTCGGGGCTCAGAGAGGCACCGGTAGGGTTGCCCGGGTTGATCACGACAATGGCGCGCACATCGGTGCCGGCGGCCTTGGCGTCCTCAATGGACTTGAGGATCGCGTTGACGTCAGTACCCCATGCCTTCTCCTCCTCGAGGAGGTAAGGAACGCAGCGGGCATTCAACAGCGTCAAGCTTGCGGTGTAAAGAGGGTACTGGGGGATAGGGACCAGGACACCGGCACTGGGGTCGTTGCAGACGACGTTCAAGATGGTGCTCACACCCGACGAGGCACCCGCAGTCAAGAACAGGTCTTGGGGATTGGCAGGGAAACCATCACGTTTCTCAATGAACTTGGCGACGCTGTCCCGGATGCCCGGTGCACCCTGGCTGTGACTGTAGGCGCCAACGCTCTGCACATTGGCCAAAAGGGCTTGGGCTCGGTCGATCACATCCTGCTCATATCCAAGTGACTTCTTGAGGACCTCGGCGTTTTCCAACAACAATGGGTTCTCGACGAGACTGAGGACCTGGCGGAAGAAGGTGATGGGCTTCTGATCGAGTTGTTGGGGGTTACCGATGTTGGCAAAGATGACGCTTTCAAAGGGCAGGGACTTGTCACCATCAAGCAGACGTTGGCGGTAGGACTCAGCCTTGACAGCCAATTCACCACGCACGGCGTACTTGGCATCTCTAACATGCTGGTTGATGTTGTCGACGTTTAGACACTTGCGGGTCTGGACGGCCGACAGGGTGCGCTTAGAGGTATACGAGACGGTGGTCTGAGTCATGATGGGCTCTGGATTGACCCGGAGGAGGTTAGTGAGGTTCAGAATAAGTAGACTAGTATTCCCGAGACTAAGAGGAGAATGAAGTATATAAAGGCCGCGAAGGTGTTGAGATCGCAACCAAGAATTGGGGTGAAGTATGGTTAAGAGGGAGTGATTAAATCACACCACACAACAATGAGGTGAATTTCCAAGACTGAAGGATTGCGGAACCCCCCAAACTATGTAAGCTGGGGTGGTATCGGGATCCGACGTACCTGACCTGGCGGAGAGACACCCCGCAGCGCCACGTGCGGCCGGGCGATGTAGGAGGCCATTCGGCCGGGTAGGCAGTGCCCGTAGCGGAGAGGCCCGCACGCTGGATGCGAGCTTATATTGCCAGGCCATTTTGACAAATGGTTAATCAAGGATCGAATTGATCAATTAGAAGAGTCCCTTTGGCATGAACCCCTGTCGCGATTGTCCGATTGCGATCGGGAGAAGAAGGGGAAAAAAAAATAAATGACCCTGTTGCCCATGGATGGGCGGTGAATCTGTGACTCAGCATTTCTCCACATCCCGGAGGACTCCCCGGGTCGTCGGCAGCCGATTACGATAAGGATGTTGAGGCAAGACTGCAGGAGATGTGGCTACGGTGAAAGACTTGGTCGATGATGAGAAACTACTGCGTGTACACATCTTGCATTGAGGATCATCTACGTTTATGCATGGTAACACGATCTGCGACGATCACTCCGAGGGAAAGTCAGACGGTCGCCCGATATCGACCCATTTACCGGAGCTGCCCGATGTGGGGGTTCAGCCTCGGAAAGATGTACTTTTAGTCAAGGAATTGGTCATGTCATGGCATGGGTGGCATGTCATAGGATCTACGGGGCTAATGCTGCCTAGGTGGGTTTAAGCACGCAGGGAAGATTGTCCATTCAGGCATACATAGTTGATCATAGTTCGTGGTATTGAGGCTCGGAATGCCTCCAAGTTCGTAGATATACCACTTTAGCTCCGCTCACTTCCACGAAGACGCACAGCTTGGCCGTACTTCTGAATCTTGGTAATCAGAGAGTCACCATGCTTCACCACATCGGCATACTGCTTGTTCTTGTCATCTGGTCGATTCGTCTCGATGATACCATTGACACGATCGATGGTGCACGCAATGCGGTTGTTTGAAATGAACTTGGCAAGGTCCCTGTGGTTGTGGTCAGCAAATGACTTGATATTCGAAGAGATCCAGACAGAACATACCGGTCCAAGTAGTCTACCGTCACACCGAAGTCGTTGGCCATACCACTCAGCCCGACCACACGGTAGCTCTGAAGAAGCTGCTGGTAGGCGCGCAGTCGCATCTCACGAACAAACCACGCCCGGTGCTCATGCAGATACCGGTCTTGTGTCAGGAACTGGTCCTCAACGGCCGCGAGTGCCACAAAGAACGAGCGGTAATTGCCGTTGTAGAGACTGGTAACCAGGTTCGCGAGCGGTGCGAAGTCAACGGGCACCTCGGTCTCCACATGCGCACCGGAGCCGGTTGAAAAAGAAGAGATGTTGACAGCGGTCTTGGCACCGGCGGGTATGGGCGTTATCGCCGTTGTCTCCTTCATCACTTCATCCCGGGCACCGGGGCCTGAGGAGACTTCCCCACTCAGGGCAGCCAATTGGTCTTCAGCAGAGCCAAGGATGGCCTTGATCTCCGGTGCATCTACTACCTTCGCCTTGAAGTCCACACGCTTGAGAGACAAGGATCCCGCGAGCACTGAGTAAATTACCAGAGAAGAATAGCTGCAGAGTTCGTAGCTTGTGAAGGTAGACAGACTGTCGAGAAGTAGAGGAGCGGCAAGGCTGTAAGAGCGAATGGTGAGCAAATGCAATCCCTTGTATGCCTTGAGACGGTTTCTACGGTCCCAGTCTCCACCACTCTCTACCAAGGTCTCTGCTCGTTCAATGGTCTTGTTCACAAACAAAAGATCGCCGAAGAAGAGTCCGATGCGGAGCATGGCCATCACCAGATCGATCTTCGTGCCCAGGGATCCGGTCTTTTCGAGGAGGGCTTCGTGGGATTCGACAGCTTTGTCCTATTGGAATACTGGTGTCAGCTAGCAAACCCGAGAAGCTTGAGAAAACATAAGACCAAGAATTCTCACCTTATCTCCCACACGAGCCCAGAACTCAGCTCGCTTCCCGCGCGCAGCTTGTACCTCAGTCTCCCCAGCAGCCTCTTCCGCCTCATCCTCCTCCTTCTGGAAGGTCTCCAGTTCTTTCTTGTTATCCTCTAGTAGGGACTGGTAGAGCTGCTCATCCCAAGGGAAATCAATCTTCAGCGGTGTTTTGCGAGATGCAAGCAGATTGGACGTGATGAGAGGCTGCGTTGAGTTCCCTCCATTTTGTGGGTGCTGTGTTACGCCTTCGCCGGAGTTGTTCAAAATGCCTTCGGTGGGATGGGCTAGATGCCGGTAGAAAGGAGCCATTTTGTTCTCCAAGATAACTTCTTGGAGCTTCTTCAATGAACTCTGCTGGACGGCTGGCGCGCATGCTGGGTTGGAGATATTGAAGACATGTTGGGCGATGGAGAGGCTGGGAAACTTGATATACTGCGGATCAGACCCCATAGTCGCGAAGGGGACTGGAGATGCTGACAGGATTGCCACGAGTTAAAAAAACGATGCAATAGAGGAGGGAGAAGATGGGAGCTGGTGATGTCTGGGGATGAGATCAAGCCAGGTGCATCACCGCAGCCCGAGCTCAGCTGGCGGAATGTTTCTCCGTGCCGAGCTTTCTTTAGCCTTCTCCCTTCGAACGTCAAGATAAGCGTACCTTGTACGAGATCTCGGTCGCCTCTACGACAATTAAAATATACCTGTTTTCTCTGTGCAAGTAAAATATTT